AATCTACAACCATTCTTACCATATTTTTGTTTATGATGCTGCTTTGTATCTTTGCAGCATTATCTCTACCTGAGGGTACTCTTCTAAATTAACAGCACTACCTGTGGAGGAGGTGATTCAGTCTTCTTCATAGTGTTTTATAACATCTAGTATCTACTCCAAAGATATTGATTTGGGGTGTGGTTTTCAGCACTAGTATCTGCACTTTGTAAATGCTTGAATGATGTTGTTTAAGCTTTTTAAAATGATTTGTAATGACAGCTAATGGCAAAATAACAGCTAAATGGTCACAAACAGCAGTTGCTAGAGTCCAAAGCATGTTAACAGTATGATGTGCTCCATAATGACACAGGTGGTCATTAGTCCCCCAACCCCCTCTAAAGAGGCACCGCCTTGTGGCAGTAGCGTAACAGGTTTTCATCCATTCTATCCACCCCCCTTGGCTTTGAAGTTGTTCAATACCTAAGGAGTAAAAATGTTTTCTCTTTCTGGCATTTGTGTGATTTCCAACTTACACATGGAGTGGCATTTTGTTAACACTTCTGTGGCACTGTGTCAGAGTCACATAATTCATATCTGCATACAATGCATACTACAGAAAGGCTAGAACTTGGCAGTGTGGCTTGTGCCCTAGCTGAAACATAAAAGCATTCTTGTCCCTCTTACTCCTGTTTGGGGTCCCATAGGAGCTAAGGGATGCAATTCTCAGAGAGCAGTTGGGCCTGAGAATAAAAGCCCATCAATAAGGAACAGGTGACACTGCCACAGCTGGGTAATTTGTCTATTTTCTCTTCTGCAGCCCATTTAGTGATGATGTATTTGTCCCAGAGAATAGATGATGGCAGGTTTGTTCATATTTTACACTTATGAACCTGCCTGTTCCTCTCCACCCAGCTCTGCCCATCTGTCTTTGTCCCTGGCTCCTTTCATTTCATTTCACAGATTGGGCAGTAGGCCTTGGCCATGAGTTATGAAGGTGGATTCTTTGAGAGCAACTTTGGGAAGGGAGAGAGGAAAAGAGATAGGTCAGTTCTCTGCAGAGAGGGGAGGGATGGACAGGTCTGGGAGAAAGAGATGTCACAGACTCAGTAGTGGGCAGGAAGGGAGCTCAGAGAGGAAGGAGAGGGAGAGATTCTAGGACAGAAGGAAATGATGCTGGGGAGGCCTGCTCACAGAAGATGGTTTGGAATGCTAAGTCCAATCCCAATAATTAAGTTGGGCCTAGTACAAAACCTAATCATGGTAGCCATTCTCTCAGGTAGCCCCCATGACTCACATCATGGTATTCACACCCTTGTAAGGCCTCCTCCCACATTTAGCAGGGCTGACATATGTCACCAATGGGACATGCAGAAATGACAAAGTGTGATTTATAAGGGCACAAGAGTCCTTGGAGTTTCCATTTACTCTCTCTTGGATCACTTGGTCTCTAGGTGGAAGCCTGCTGCTCTGTGGGAAAGACACACAAGCAGTGCCTGGAGAAGTCGCCGAGGCAAGGAACTGAGGCCCCTGGCCAACAACCAGCACTCACATGTTGGGTGTGTGAGCAACCTACCTTGGAAGCAGGTCTCACAGCTGCAGTCAAGCCTTCAGATGAGCACAGCCCAAGCTGATATAAATATAATATAGTATACATAATATATATATTAATCATTTAAAATAATCTCTACATCCAATGTGGGGCTCAAACTCACAAAGCCAAGATCAAGAGTTGCATGCTTTTCCAACTGAGTCAACAAGGCACCCCACCAAGATGATATCTTTTTGTTTTTAAGATTTTATTTGTTTATTCATGAGAGACACAGAAAGAGACAGATATATAGGAAGAGGGAGAAGCAGGCTCCTAGCAGGGAGCTTGACATGGGACTCCATCCTAGGACCCTGGGATCATGACCTGAGCCAAAGGCAGATACTCAAACACCCAGGCACCCACAAGATGACATCTTGACTATAGCATTGTGGGAGACCCTGAGCCAGGGTCCAGAGTTGGACCCTGAACCAGTCCAGCTAATTACTCACTCCTGAATTTCTGACTCATTTGGAACCATGTGAGATAATAACTGTTTATAGTTTCAAGCTGCTAAATTTTAGGGGTAATTTATTCCACAGTTATTGGAAATGGTCTTATTTGTAGAATCGTTGTCCAACATCTATCTGGTTTGCTGCCTGGAATGCACAGTCCATGGGGTCAGGGGTCCATTTATACCAGGTGCTCAGTTAACCAGCATTGCATGTCATTGAGTGCCACAAAGAGAGCCCCTGTGCCCTACTCTTTCAATTACTCCATAAACAGAGTTAGTAAAGCAAGAAAAAGATTCTGGGATGGAGTAAATTTGTGTTGTGAGGAGAGGGATAGGGCCACAATTAGGATGACCAAATCTCCTGATTTCCCTGGGATAGAGGGGTTTCCTGAATGGAGGCCTTTCAGTGCTAAAACTGGTTAAGTCTAGGGTAAACTGGAATGAGTTGGTCACCCTAGCTGAGGCTGGGGTTGGAGTCTCAAAGCTACACTTCCAGTAAGCTGCCATACTGTGGTTCATATGACATGGGGAAGGAGATCCATCTCCCATCTCTCCTAGTCAGGGATGGGAATATGCTCCTGGAACTGCCTAGTTTTATCCCCTTGCCCCACTTAAGTGGGTAGAAATGGGGAAAACCTCTTGGAAATGTCAGACCAGTGTGAGGAGGTTACAGGCCAGTCCTCCCTCCTTCTTGCCAGCAGAAGTGGCCAGAAACATCTAGAATTTGGTGAAGACTCTCATCCTAGACCTGGAGAGCCAGCCCCTTTCTGTCCACGAGTTCTGGCTTCCTGTGTTTTTGTTACCAAATGCCTTCTACCACATGGCCAATGAATTATTACTCTGAAGCCTCTGTTGGAATAATTCAATCATAGGTCACCAAGGCTGCCTCCTCCATTGTTCAAGAGGTATTCCTTGTACTGAGTGGGAAGCTGCCTCCACATAACCTCCACCCTTTGATTATATTTGATTGTGCTAAACATTTCTAACCTGTTCCTTCCTGGAGGTCTTTTCACATATTATGCACAAATGCTTTCCTGCCTAAGGTTCCCCTTGCTATGCTCCCTTCTGGCAAACTCTCTATTTACCCTTTTAAGATTAGGTCCAAAACCAGGCTTCCTGGGAGGCCCAGTGGAACCTGTCATTTCTGCCTCAAGTCTACCACACTCAGAGCCTAAGGGAAGGGCAGCTCTACGACATGACACCAGTGACATTTCATTTGTTTCACCTCCATCTACTCATCTGGGCTTTTCCTGAGTGGCTGGGACTGGGTAGCTAGCCTTCCATCACACCAACTTCCAGAAAGGGGAGCATATTCCCTTTTGGTCCCTCAGATAAGCCAACTGGGCCCAGCTGTGTCTCCAACACCTCACTGTGCTCTTCTTTGTTAACACAAAGAGCAGGCCTCAGGCTCACAGCCTTCTGCCTTACCTACATGGCAGTGGCTGTAGTGTGGTGTCCACTGCACATTTATTTAGATGGTTCTGCCTGTTTACGACAGTTGATTCGGGTTTTCTATTTATCATGAGGATACTGTTTCCTTTTTATTTTTTAAAAGATTTTTGAGATATTAAATATATTAAATATTTATTAAATATTAAATATTTTGAGATATTAAAAGATATTTGAGAGAGAGAGAGAGAGAGAGAGAGAGAGAGCAGAATGAGAAGAACACAAACAGGGGGAGAGGGGACAGAGAGAGAGGAGAAGCAGGCTCCACCCCAGGACCCTGGGATCATGACCTGAGCCAAAGGCAGATGCTTAACCCAACTGAGCCACCCAGGCACCCTATAGTTTCCGTTTTAAATAAATCACACATATAATTCATGCTCCTTTAGAAAACACAAGGCAAAAAAATCATAGCGCAAGCCTCACTTCCATACAGAAGTCATTACTGACCCACAAGTATACATAGATCTCCCTTTTTCTCTTCCCTATCCGTTGTAAGTCCTCACAGCTCACTGTATTTCTTTACAGTCTGCACTATAATTGGCAAAATACTTTTGTGTATATTTTTCATTTATCCAGTAAATATTTAATGTACCAGGCAAGAGAAGTGAGGGGAAAGCAGCCTAAGGTATCTGTCCTAAAGGGGCTCAAAGTCAGTGTTGATCTGATTTTGTCTCCCCTACCAGACCTCAAGTTCCAAGAGGGCTGGGGGCTTGTTGTCCTGTCTGCCTTTAGTGTTTCAGAACTTAGCACAGGCAATAGTCAGGCTGACTGAATATTTGCTGAAGGATTAACAAAATTAATGCCTGCCCTTCATTCCGCCTTGCCAAGCATACCAGGAGGGAGCCACCAGTTAGCAGTCAATGGGTGGCCATTCTGGGGGTGTGCATGCAAGGATCCATGTCCCGTTGGGCCCCTGGACCCTGGACCCCTGGTGGGGTCTGCAGGCTCTCCACTCTTGTTGACGTCTGTGATCTGGAGGATTGTGGACTGAGAAAGGGTTAGTTTGGAAGGCAGGCAAAAGAGCTGGGCAGGGCCGGGAGAGGGCATAGGCCCCGGGATGCCCAGGTAGAGATGGGATGAAGATAGAAAAGGAGATGGAGAGAAAACGTACTGGTGGCCCGGAGCCTTGTCCAACTGCCTTCAATTGTTAGGGGTTTGTTCCTTTGATAATGTGCTAAATACTGCCTGTAAATCCCTCCTCCTCAGAAAAACGCAGTTTCAGGACACCTACTGATTGACCGTCTGCCACTGATCTTGAGAGCCCAACTAAGAACCCTTGGCATCATTGTCCGACGCTCCCATTTTACCAAAGTGGACATTGAGGCCCAGAGTGGGCAAAGGCCCTGGTCAAGGTTACGTCAGCACCAGACCTGCTGCAGGGGCTCTGAGGCTAAACCTGATGAGCCCAGGCTCGGTGAAGGTAGGTGATGCCCAGCGGCGAGGCCTGGCGGCCGGTGGCAGGCGGCAGGCGACGGGCTAGGCGGGGGGCGGGGCTCGCCGAGGCCCCGCCCCGCCTCCGGGCTGGGGGCGGGCCTTGCTCCAACCTGCGCCGCTCCAACATGGCTCCGCGGCTGTGCAGCATCTCTGCGGCGGCGCGGCGGCTGCTGGGGAGCCCGAAGCCCCGCGCCGGGGATGTCGCGGCTGCTGCGCGGTGAGAGCCGGGTCGGGGGCCGAGGAGTGGCGCGAGCGCGCGGGGGGCGCAGGGCGGGCGGCCACGGTCTGGGGCTGGGGGACCGGCGGACTCCCGCTTAGAATCTCTGGGTTGGAGGCGGGGGCAAGATCTAGGCCTGGGGAGGGGCTCTCGGCGAAGAATGGGGGAGATGGGGAAAATATGCGCAGGGTCTTTGTCCTAGTAGGTACCTGGCTCTGGACGGAGAACGAAAGATGGGGTGAAGGGGAGGGGCTTGTCCTGCGCCCTGGAGAGTGGCAGAGGGCAGGAGTGGCCCCTTCTCTAGAAGGGATGATTGTGAAATAGTACCCGCTGGGGGCTTCTAGGAGAGGCAGCTCCTCCCTTCGGAAGTTCCGGGGGAAGAGGTACGGGGAGCAGTGGGGGACTCCTCAGGGCCATGGCTGCACAGACCCTTTGCTCCCCAATCCTGAACAGTACAAGTGGGGCAAAGGAGGCCTGGGAAGGGATGGGAGTTGCCCAAGGTCATTCCCTCTGGTGTCTCCATGTCTCCTGACAACCAGTGCTCTTTGCACCACAATTGGTGGCCTCCAGGGAGAAGGAGGCTGGCGTGGCCTTGCGCTCAGCCTGGGCTTTTGTTTGGGCCCCGCTCTGGAGTGAGGCAGGTCTTGGACTTCTTGACCCGGTCTGGGCACCCCCTCCCTCCTCCATCTCCAGGGTCCTGTACTTTCCCCATACCCTCATCACCCTCTAGACACATTTGCCTTTCTCCCTGACTGGCGTGTCATGTCATTTATCTGTTAATCAAGCCCCTACCACAGGGTTCAGGACAGTATACTCGAGAACGAATTACTAAAGAAGTGAAGACACCTCTCTTCCCACCTGTGGAAAGGAAGCAGGGGGCCCTCCTGTTCAGCAGCCCAGGCATGAAGCTGCAGAGTTCGGTTAGACCTTGCCATGGGATCCACTGTGGCTCTTGGCCATTGGGAAAGAGGAACCAGGCCTGTGCCCCTTCCCCTACTGCCCAATATTGGGGAGAACCCTCCTCTCATGGGAAGATCCTGGAGTTTGTCTGGGACTGGCAAATTTAACTCAGCCTTTCTCAATGGAGTGACCTTGGGCAAGTCATTTGGCCTCTTGAAGTCTCAGATTCCTCAGCTGTAAAATAGGATTGATAAAATAGTATGTATCTTATAAGAGTGGAGGGTTAAAAAAGACATGTCACGTATGTGAGGCTTCTAGCCCCTGGTGAACTTGCAACAGATGTTGCCCTTGTTCAAAAAGTTTCTGAATGAACCCCTTATAATATTAGGGCTCAAATGGCCTTGGGAAAATCCTCTTTTTTTTTTTAAGATTTTATTTATTTATTCACGAGAGACACACACACGCAGAGGCAGAGACATAGGCAGAGGAAGAAGTAGACTCCCTGCAAGGAGCATGATGCGGGACTTGATCCCAGGACCCTGGGATCAGGACATGAGCCAAAGGCAGATGCTCAGTGGCTGAGGCACCCATTCGTCCCTGGGAGATCATCTTCTGTGAGCTCCTTGCTATCCAGATGAGGAAATTGAAGCTCGGGGTGGGACTTCACTTTCCCAGGGTAACAAAATCAGTAGAGGGAAAAGCCATTTGTGTGACAAATATGCAGAGGCCACAAAAGGAGCATGGAACAAACAGGCAACCTGATGCTCCTCACTCACTTGGATGAGGCGCTGAACCTCTGTGAACCTTGGTTTCCTTTTCTGTAATTGGGGATGATAAACCCTATGGGGGATTTTTGCAGGATTAATGTGAAGGCATTTGAATTAATACCAGTTCTCTCAAGGACTGCTTCAAAAAAAAAAAAAAAAGGACTGCTTCATAGTTACTTATGTTGTGGTCTCACTTTGGATACCTGCAAACATACCCTCCTGCTGACATTTAGCCTGTCCCATATCTCTCTGGAGTCAGTAGAGGGGTGGGGTGGGCAGCAGCCTTTCTGTCCTCTTAGGTTTAGGGGCTGCTGGGGCAGAGACAGAGTGTGGGCTTTCAAGTCAGATGATGTGGATTGCAATCCTCTTGATCATTAATTAACCATCTGTGAATAAGGCATGGAACACCTCTGAGCCTCATTTTTTCTCAAAAACATATTGTGAGGAATAGTTCTTAGCACATAATAATTGCTCAATAAATAGTGGCTGTTATTGTTGCACCAGTAATCCTGTTAACAGGACTTTAGTTGTTTTATTTTTATTATTAGTAAGTAAGTTCTGTGCCCAGCATGGGGCTTGAACTCACTACCTTGAGATCAAGAATCACATGCTCTACCAACTGAGCCAGAGAGGCACTCCAGAACTTCAGCTATTTTAGTTCTCCCGGAAATCTAGACAATCTAGAGAACATTCTGGAGTGGTTTCATGTTGGGGGCATCAGACTATTGATCCCTATCGAAGTGCAAATGTGACATCTACTGAAAAGTTCTCATCCAGGACAAATACTTGTTGAGCAACTCCATGCCAAAAGCACTGTGCTGTGTACCAGGGGGGGATGGGAGGACGTTAGCTAGTGACTTCCAGTGTGACTGGGGAGTCAAGACGTGAAAATGATAAAAAGGCTGATGGGGAAATGTGAGAGGTGTTTTTGTGGAAGGGGCTAAACTGGTCCATCTGGAGCAGCTCCTTCCCATAGATTGCACAAAGCTGCATTGTGTTTTTCTAGGTCTAGAAGCTTTCTTAATATAGTTTAGATACAGAATGTTTGGCATTTCTGAAATGGCATGGGGTGGGGAAGAAAAGAAATTGGGGCTACTCTAGAGCAGTGATTCTTCAACTTGAGCAGGAGTCAGAATCCCTTGGTGGGCTTGTTAAAACCCAGATGCTAGGCCCATCCCCAGGATTTCTGTTGCCATAGGTCTAGGATGGGGTCTGAGAATTTCTCTGGTGACATTAACACTGTGAGTTTCAGAACTGCTGGGATAATGAACCCTGGCTCTATGGAGAGCTTGGCAAAGTACATAAGAGATAGAATTCCAAGTGGAGACATCCAGCCTTTGGTACACAATGGGGAGCCATAGAACACTTTGAGCAGAGCAATAGCATCACCAAAATGGTGCCTTACAAAGATGGATGGGCAGATTAGGAAAAGTAGGGAAAGAGTGGGAACCAGGATATCAGGAAGTTTGGTAAGAACAGTGATATTAGCTGCACTGCCATGTCAGGCCCTTTCTCTAGAAGACCCATCCTAATGTCCCTATTTTACAGATAAGGAATATAAAGCTCAGAGAGATGAAGCTCATCTGAGATTAGAACCTGGATTCATCCAGAACCTGTGCTCTTAAGCACTAATTCTGCTGGTGATGGTGGGGAGCATAAGGGGTCCTGAACCCTATGTCCATATTCTGAGCCACTCTTTCTCTAATTTCTTACCTTCCAGCATTTATCGTCTATAAGCAGCTCTGTCTTAGCTCCCCCCCACCCTTCATTTACTTCCCAGATGTAGACTGAGCACATGCCAGGAGCCCAGCCAGCACTGTTCCAGGCACTGGGACACATGGGACAGACAAGATCCCTTTGGGGCTGCTTCTAGTGGGGAGACAATAAATGAGGCACATAAAAAAAAAAAAAACAAACACAAGGAGCTATGGAAAAATAGAGGTAGGGTAAGAGCGGTGGGGAGAAATGTTCTCAAGGATAGGAGAAATGTTGTGATTTCACTGAGAAAGCGAAATTTGAATTCTTGAGAATGTAAGTCTATGGACACTGCTTGAGTTCAGACCCTGACCTGGGATCTTGGATAGGTCCTGTCTGGGGTTTTACCTGTAGAAAAACTCTTTAGAGATAGGCTACTCCAGCGTGCTCATTTGACACACGGGGGAACTGAGGACTGTAGGCATGAAAGATTAGAGAGTTGGGGAAAGAGATGGGAGCTCATCAGAGCTCCTGGATTCCCTTGCTATTACCCCAGAATGGAGAGCATTCTAGCCCCCTGCTCTCTCTCCAAGGGCTGGTTTCCTGGCTGTTTATCTTGGTCAGTACTGATGTTAATAAATTACTCAAAGCCCAGTCCTGGAGCAAAGGTCTTGGCTACAAGTAAGTAGGAGCCACTGTTTTCCCTGCCACCACCCCTTGCAAGGGAAGCATCCCCTCTACATTCAAACCAAAGGTCAGATCTCTTGGCCAGTGGCTTTGTTGAAATACGTAATTCTTCACAGTATCTGCCTAATGTTCCCCAAGTCAGTGCTCAAACCCAAGGAGGAGGCTGGCTTTGAAGCAAAGAGTTCTGGGTTGGTTCTTGCCTCAGCTCTACCCCTGATTTACTATGTCATCTTGGACAAGTTCCTTAAACCCCCTATTTTCTCATCTCAAAAATGAGGATGCTAATAGTATCACACTATATCAACATTATGTAGATGTAAGATCATGCTTCTGCAGAGCTGATCAGAGATCCCTGACACAGGATGTCCTCAGATGCAGTATCTATAGCAAAATCCCCTTATTCTGGTTACCAAATTTCATAGAACCACACTGGTGATCTGACAATAATCGTCTTTTTGGTTTTTGCTAATGATACAAATAGATGCACAACAGAAAGTCTGTGAATTCAGAAACACTTAAAGCAATTTTTTTTTTTAGCTTTACAAAAAGCTATAATGAATAAATAAAAATTTAACCATCTCTCTCCCCTATCCCAGGTAAGCAGCATTAGGTTTGGGACAAATCGTTACTCATCTTTCTGTGTTCATACAAATGTTTTACTACTTTAAGATGCTTTTATGATTTCATCAGTCCCAGTGGCCACTCCATATTTTGGAAAAAAATAATACTTTGATTTGCAAGACAATTATTTTTATTTTAGCCATAGAAAAGAATTGAAAAAGGAGAGGACTTACTGGCACTTAAGACTTCCACTGCCAGGCTCCCTGGCTAGAAATCATCCAGCAAGAGACTAGTTTTTCAGGCCTGACTACAAATTGTATCAGTGCTGCTAAGCAAAAAAAATTTATAGCTTCTGGCAGCCTAAAAAGAAGTCCCACCCCTGCTGGGACCTTGTGTAGGAAGTATAGTTAGGTCTGGCAAGATGCGGTGGCAGGTCCTCTGCTATGAACAGAACATTTCATTCATCCGGTCAGTCATTTTCAAGGCACCTTAGCCAGGTGCACAGGGTAGATATTTGTCAATTAAGTGTTGCCTGGATGAATGAATGAATCTTGCCTTGCAATGCCTTTTTACCTCCTCTATCTGCTGTTACCTGCCAAATCAGCTCTGGAGATTCAGGTGGTCAGACCACCTCCTCTGTAGAGTTTGCCCAGACTGCCAAAGACTTGTTCACCTAGGCTCTCCCAGATACCTCTGGATACAATTATATTCCAAAGCCTGCTTCTTCCAGTAGACTGTGACTTCCTCCAGGACAAGGCTGGAGGCTTTCTATTTGTGGGGGCTGGGAAGGGGCACAGGCCGAGTGTAATGTGAGCACTGGAGAGGACGATGAGTATAGGCTTTTGTCATAAGGGACAGAAATTGCAAATAAAGCACTGAGTAAAAGAGCCTGGCACGTTCAGGGAGGAGCAGATCTAGAGAGTGGAATACATAGGTTGGGGGGGAGGGGACAGCAAGGAAGGTTAGCAAGATAGTTTGGGCTGTTAGGGGTTTCAGACATCAGGCAAGGTGGGTTTGGGGTTGATCCTCTTGGCAAAGGGCTGCAGATATGTGCCCCAAGTAGAGCAGATGTGTGCCCCAAGGAGCCTGTTGGAAGGGGGATAAGTAGAAGCAGGGAGGCTGGAGAGAGGTGGGAAGCGGGCTGCTTCTCCTGGCCTCTTGAGGCCCTGCAAAGGTTCAAGAATCTCTAAAAGAGACCGAGTCTGCTCAGCTGGCTCCAGTGATGTTTTATACTCCAGAGCCACCACTGGATACCATGGCCCCATTCCTAGAAATGTGGGTCATCAGGCTATCTGAGGGATGGGGGAGCAGGACATCTGAGCAGCTGGAAGAGGCAGAGCTATCTCCACCTCTTTTTGTCCTCCTGAACTCCTCTGTCCTGCAGCTTCTATTCCAAGGACAATGAAGGTAGCTGGTTCCGCTCCCTCTTTGTGCACAAGGTGGATCCCCGGAAGGATGCCCACTCCACCCTGCTATCCAAGAAGGAAACCAGCAACCTCTACAAGATCCAGTGTGAGTGGCTGCTGACCCAGCCCACCTGCCTGCTTGCCCGCCCTGCCGCAGCCTCTGGGGGGGCCTGTGAGTCTTGGGCTGGGACACCCTGAGCTGTCCTGGGAGCCCTGGTCCCTCTAACCCAGCTCCCCACAGACACGCACACCCCTTGTTTCACCTCCCACTCTCTGTTCTCTATTGCAGTTCACAATGTGAAGCCTGAATGTCTGGATGCCTACAACAGCCTGACGTGAGCCTCCTCCTCCATCTGCTTGTCCCATTCCCTGCCTGGGTGTGAGACTCCATCCCAGCCCCATTCTCCTTGCAGAAACCTAGGAGATGTAGATATCAGAGCCAAAAGTCCTAGGGATTAATTGTCCAGCCTCTGCATCTTAGAGATGGGGGCCCAGCTCTGAGGGCCTGAGTTTGAACCCTGATCTCAGGGGCCCTGGTGGCTGGTGTGAGCATTTCCCCCCTTTCTGTCCCCCTCTCCCCACCCCAGGGAGGCTGTGCTGCCCAAGCTGCACCTGGATGAGGACTACCCGTGCTCGCTTGTGGGCAACTGGAACACATGGTACGGGGAGCAGGACCAGGCAGGTGAGGTGCCCACCTCCCCAGTGCCGTTGCCACCCAGCCCAGGTCTCTGGCACCTCTCATGCCTGGCCACCCTCCACTCCCTCTCTGCATCGGCACCCACAGGGATATTTTTTTTTTAAGATTTTATTTATTTATTCATGAGAGAGATACACACAGAGAGAGGCAGAGACATAGGCAGAGGGAGAAGCAGGCTCCATGCAGGGACCCCAATGCGGGACTTGATCCTGGGACTCCAGGATCACTCCCTGGGCTGAAGGCAGGCACTAAACCACTGAGCCACTCAGGGATCCAGAGGGATCTTTCTAAATGCAGTCTTCATTGGTTCACTCTGTTGCTCTTTCTTCTCATGGGCCTAGAGTACCCTCTCCTATTGGTCCTCATATGAGGTTTATCCCTCTTCTACCCGCCAGCATTCCAGGTGTTGGCAGACTTCCATCCATACGGTATTTTTGCTGTTTCCCTTGGAAAAGAGGCCTTTAAACTCTAGGGTCAGACTATTTTGCAGACAAAAAAATCAAGACACAGATGGAGTCAGAAGGCAAGTAAAGGATAGGCTAAGTGTGGAAAGGAACAAAAGTCTGAGCTTCCAAATTGCTGGTCAGCCAACTGCCCTCAGCTCTAGCCTGCCTGCCTGGCCCTTTGGAGACCCTCCCTCAGCCCCAGCCATGCTCCCAAGGATGGCAAGATTGTTTGCTTTCTTCCTTCCCACCTTTATTATTGGAAGGTGTAGTAGTTTCCTATGGCTGCCTTAACAAAGTGCCAACTCCTGATGGCTTAAAACAACAGAAATTTATTCTCTCAAGTTCTGGAGCCCAGAAGTCTGAAATCCAGGTGTTGGCAGGACCACGCTCTCTCCACAGGCTCTAAGGGAGAATCATTTCTTGTCTTTTCCAGCTTCTGGTAGTTGCTAGAAATCTTGGCTCTTCTGGGCTTGTAGATGCATCACTCCTGTCTCTGCCTCTGTTGTCACATAGCATTCTCCTGGTGTACCTGTGTTAACATGTTACCTTCTTTGTGTCTGTGTCCAAGTCTCCCTCTTCATATGAGGACACCAGTCATTGAATTTAGGGCTTACCCAGTGTGCTGGCATCTTAGCCTGACTGCATCTACAAAGATCCTATTTCCAAATAAGGTCATATTCTGAGGTTCTGGGTAGGTATGAACTTCAGGGAAGGGGGACACCATTTGATTAAAGGGACTATAATAATTCAAACAGTACAAAGAGTTTTTGGTGAAAAGCAAGCCTCCTTGCCCACTATCCCCAGGCTTGTTCTCTGCCCCAGGGGCACCTCCTGTCACAATCTCTTGGGTCTCCGTTAAGAGATGATCCATAGACCAGCATCTCTGGATATGTGCCCCTACCACTAAACACATGTGCTAACATACTGTGCATACTGCTCTGGTCCTTATTGTTGTTGTTGTTGTTGTTAGTGGTTTTTTGTTGTTTTTTAATTCACTGTCTTGGAATATTCCATCTCAGCCCATCAGATCTACTCTCCTTTTGTCCAGCCTATCCGTCATAGGCCTGGTGGTCAGCTTCATGTGTGTTGTTACGCCTTGGGTACAAGAAGACATCTGATCCTCTTGTGCTATTTAAGGAAAGTTGGGTGGAACTATTATTCCCATTTTCAAGATAAGAACATTGAGACCCAGAGGGGTCAAAAGCCACCCAGCAGACCTGGAGCTCAAACCTCGGCCTCCTGGGCTTATGTCTGGGGCTATCCTCCACCAAGGTAAAGGGAACTCAGAGAGTCGTGGTGCTAAGGGGATGCAGCTGGAGACTGCCTCGTTTCATATACACTTAACTAGTCTTAGGGTAAGCAGGCTCTGACCTGTACCTCCTGTTTTCTCCCCTGTGCAACAGTACACCTGTGGCGATTCTCAGGTGGCTATCCAGCCCTCATGGACTGCATGAACAAGCTCAAAAGCAACAAGGTATGTGGGCATCTACTCCACAAACCTCTCTGAATGTTGGCTCTGGCTCTACCTTGTGTTGGGGGGCTGCCACGGCTATCCCACGGGGACATACCACCAAGGTAGGCAGCTCTTCATGGCCATCATGCGCAAACTGCCATGCCCACAGGAGTACCTGGAGTTCCGAAAGGAGCGGAGCCAGATGCTACTGTCGAGGAGAAACCAGATGCTCCTTGAGTTCAGCTTCTGGAATGAGCCACAGCCCAGAGCAGGCCCCAACATCTATGAGCTGAGGACATACAAGCTCAAGGTACGTCCCTGCCACCAGATCCCTGCCCGCCTCCCTCTTTCTCTGCTGTGGTGCGGCTCTACAGATACCCTGACATGGGGCAAAGGATGGTGGGGCGGTCCTGTGCTCCAACACTAGGCTGGGTCTTCTGGCTTCTCCCTCCCTCTGGGCTCAGAACAGAGGTGTGTACATACAAGTGTATACATGCACACACAGGTGTGAGTCAGGGCTCCTGAATGAGGCCAAATGGCCCCTGGGGCTGGGGAGACATGACAATTTCCTATCTCCACCTAGCTGTGACATTTGGAATCTGAGATGGAATCTGAAAATAAAAATAATTTTATTTATTTATTTATTAAAATATTTTATTTATTTATTCATGAGAGAGGCAGAGACATAGGCAGAGGGAGAAGCAGGCTCCACATAGGGAGCCTGATGTGGGACTTGATAGCGGGACTCCAGGATCACGCCCTGGGCCAAAGGCAAGCGCTAAACTGTTGAGCCACCCAGGTGTCCCTAGAGGCTCATTTTAGTTCTTTCCTCTCGTTCTTTTTCAGCCAGGAACCATGATTGAGTGGGGAAACAACTGGTGAGTGGCAGTGCCAGGGGTTGGGGGAGGGGGGCTGCCTGCCTGCCCTGCCTAGTTGCCGAGCATGCCACCTTTCCCAGGGCCATATGGTGGGGGCCTGGCATCTTCCGCCCCTCATGGATCCAGGAGAAGGATCCAGCCAGGAGGTGAGGGTCTCCTAGAGGGTCATCAGGCCTCCCTCAGTAGAATACCCAGCCCCCTGCTATACCTCTGTCACCCCCTTGCCTGATAATCTCTGAGAGCTAAGGGTCCTACCTCTGGCTCCTCCCTTGAGGTGTGGCTGAGAAATCAGCCTGAGGACACCTCAGAGGGCCTTTTGCACTGGCCCTGGCCTCTCTTCCACATGCTTCTGCCATCCCTAGGGCTCGAGCAATCAAGTACCGGCAAGAGAACCAGGAGGCAGTAGGCGGCTTCTTCTCGCAGATAGGAGAGCTCTACGTTGTACACCATCTCTGGGGTAGGCTGGGGACCCTCCAGAGGCCCTCTGCTAGTTCTCTTTCTCCATTGTCACTCTGTATAGACCATGTGAATAAATTAGTCACCTTTTGGAGCTTACATTCTAGCAGAGAGAGACGCAACCTCAGCCATAGACTAATGCAAAAACATAATTTCAGATTATTACAAATAATGAGGCAGGGGAAAATGATGAAGAAACACATGGGAATGGATCACCTAGACAAAGAATTCCTCTCTGAGGAGATAAAATATTAGCTAAGCTAAAGGATGAGAAAGAGCCGGCTTCTGAATGGGCAGGGAAGGGCATTCTAAGGACAGGGAACAACATGTGCAAAGGCCCTGTGGTGGGGAAAAGGCCTTCAATATTTTGAAGCGTACAGAGGAGGCCAGTATGGAGAGAGGAGTGTGAGGAGACAGGGACATGCCAGATCAGGCCGGGCCTTGGAAGCTATGAGGATAAATTGGGATTTATTCTAAAAGCCACAGGAGGCTGCTGCAGCATTTTAAGCAGCATGACACGACCTGATTGTGTTGCAGTATGACTCTTCTGGTTGCCATGTGCTTTGCCGAGAATGCTTTGTTGGGGAAGAAGAGAGGAAGTGGGGCATCAGAAGATTGTCCTACTAGTCTGCTCAGGAGACTGGCGGCCTGGCAGTGAGGATGCTAAAGGCTACAGAGAGATTCATTGGTGTGGAGGTGGAGCCAATTGTTTGTGTGGGGAGAGGCAGGGAGGGGAGAACTCCAGATTGTTATTTGAGCAGCTGTTGTGTCTTACTGAGACCCTAGGCAGAGCAGGTTGAAGGAGTTAGGAGTGTAATTTTGGCCCTTGGAAATGTTGCATTTAAGATGCTGACACATCCAAGTGGAGATGTCAAGTGAGCACCGATACATGGGTGTAGAGCCTGAGGGAGAGTTCTGGGCTAGAAATAGAAGGTTGGGAGTTGTCAACAAATATACTGATTGGATGAGATTGTCAAAGCAGACAGTGTTTGCTAACAGTACGAGACACTGGGAACAGACAGTAGGACAGGATTTGGGGCAATGACAGGAGGGCCCTGTGCTAGGTATAGGATCAAATCCTTTGTGCCCACGGAATGAGCCAATGCCTTTCCCACAGCCTATAAAGACCTGCAATCTCGGGAAGAGACTCGAAATGCTGCCTGGAGAAAGAGAGGCTGGGACGAAAATGTCTACTACACAGGTGGGTGCTTCCTCTTGAGGGTAAGCCTAGCCCTTGGAGGTCATCTGCCAAGAGCCCAATCTGAGGATGGAATCCCTTCCGCAAGGAGATCAAGCCTCACTTGATTACCTCCAGTGACAGGGCATTTACTCTTAAGACAGTGAGTGGGTTTCTCCCCTGGTGGCACACTCCACATGATCTAGGCAGTGGGTGAGTGTTTCTGGTGATGAAAACACAGGTGGTCCCTATGCACTGTGACCTCAGGCATGGTTCTTTACCACACTGAGGCTGTTTCCTCATCTCTAAGATGGTGATTCTTCCCTCAGAAGGTTGGAGGGAAGATTCCAGGAGCTAAGTTATGAAAAGTGCTTCACTCAGACTGGCACAAAGCAAAATTTTTGAGCAAGTTTTTTTTTCTCTGCATTTGCCACCTTGCTGAGACCCCTGAGAACCACTTGGGAGTCAGCAGTTGAGCCCTCACTGTGTGCCAGGGACTGCACTTGGTGGGTAACTAGGGGACACAGAATAAACAGGATCCTGTCCCTCTCCTTGAGGAGTTTCCAATTAAGTGTCCACATTTACCAGCTGGTATGGGGAAGAATGTGCCTCCTGAAGGAGTTAGTGGAAACCTCACTCATAAAAGTATAACATTGAATGACAGTATCAGTATTTCCTGGAATCTTGTTAGAAATGCCAAATCTCAACTCCCACCCCCATCTGCTGAATCAGAATCTGCACTTTATCAAGAACTGCAGGTAATTTGTATGCATGGTGAAGTTTGAACAGCTCTGAGCAAGAGTAAGGAGTTTGACCGCCTGGGTGACCTTGAGCTGACTTCCTGGGGGCTGCAGCCTCCCTAGCTGAAAAATGAATCAGTTGAACTAAAATAGTGTTTTTCAAATCTTAGCCACTTGAGGACACCCTCAGAGCTTTTGTCCTACCGGTATACTATGGCTATGATTATTTTCTTAATATTTTTCTTTGAATCCCCCTACTTTTTTTTACACCTAGCTTTGTCCTAAACAGTATTATCTATGCAATCACTTTTTGCTCTGCCACTTACTCTTTCACGTCACAGGAATGTAAATATATAATTATGAAAATAAAAAAATGTTGTGTCTTTGCACCACCCCAATCCCCTCTTATCCCACAATTGGGTGCTCTCTATTCCAGGAGGCAGTGGGGCTTTCCCTGTCTCAGCATCCCAGGCCACCTCCTCCTTCAAAGTCCAGTTTTGGGGTGGGCTTGCCTCTGCTCCCTCTGTGACATCTGCCTCTCTCCACAGTCCCATTGGTGCGACACATGGAGTCTCGGATCATGATCCCGTTGAAGATCTCGCCTCTCCAGTGATGCTGCCTCTGCCTCCGCCTCTTTCCCCTTTTCCCTCAGGGCAGCCATGGACAGAGGACCTCCCAGTCCTGCTGTCTTGGTTTTCTCTCAGATCTGGGAGGACTCTGGGGGTTCGTGCTCAGCTCAGACAAGGGGAAGCTGAAGGATGACAGTGTTCTGAGGTCTTGTTGCTCTGCCCAGACCCTTCCCACCTTCCCTGTTCACCCCATCCCTTGTGCTGGAAGCAATTTTTAGTTTCTCTGAATGAAGAACAGCAACCTTGTATGTCGTCTCACATTTCCCCCTAAGATTCTTCATCTCAAGGCCACCAGTCTCCAGTGATCACCATGGAAGGCCTCAGTTAAGCTTTAGTTGCACAAAATGTAATGTGACCAGTGGTTAGAGATGAGCTAGCCAGGCCTGGCTCTCTGGAATTCCCTGGTCTCCACTGGGCCACCTACTGGTTGGAAAGTCTGAGCCAAGTCCCTCCTGTCAGGGAAAAGCCTAAAACTGCCTCAAGAAGTAAAAGGGAAAACCTTCAAGTTAGCACCGTCAGGACGAGGTCCTTCATATTCCACTTAGAAAAGCTGGGAAAGAGGATGGGAGCTGGGAAGAATCTGGGTCACAAAATTGGACATGAACCTAGAAGGTAGAACAGAATTCAGAATTTGGATTTGAACTGCAGAATTTGGAAAACGGAAACAGGAAAATAGAATAGAGGTTACAGAAGACCACCAGAGGAGAGGTTCCTAAAACAAGACAGTTGGAAAGAGGCCCATCTCTCCCAATATAAGATTGAGAATTTGACTGTGTAGTTTCAGCCCTTCTGTGTAGGGAGTCTCCTGCCCTTTTTTTTTTTTTCATTCCTGCAGGTGAAGGAAAAGGCTGGGGCCTATTTCCTTCACCATGCATTCCTTTCTCTCTTCATATTCTATCAGCCCAACCCGCATTCTACTGGGCCACTGGGTATGTGGCATGGGGTCAGTGACTTTGGGAGCCTCCTTGGTGATCCCTACACCTCATGAACCTCTAGGTCGCTTGTTTCCCTTTCAGGAAAACTTGTAGTGGAGTCACTGATGGAACCAATTAAATATTTACTATAAACCATGATGTCTTTTCTTCATCTGCAAGGAACTCTATCAGGTGCTAGAGGCAGGGCCAGTTTCCTGGTTCCACCTGATTTACTCTGCCCATCCCCACTCTACCCCCTATTTGTGTTCCCTGAGGATCTGGGAGGGCCTCCCCCCATGGCAGAAGGCATTCAGGACATCGGTGTTACTACATCCAGATAAGTGGAATTTACACCAGAAGTCTTGAACCCTACCTGTAGAATTCATACCAGGGGTGGAAAAACACTTGAAGCTGTCAAATGCCGCATAAGAGTTGTGACTCTGCCCATGGCAAATCGAGTAGAAACTATTGATGTGGAAAGAAACGAGTTTAGAATGAATGCCTTTCCCAGACTTGCTGCCCTCCGAAGTGTGGGATGTTTGGGTGATTATGACACTGGTTAAGAATACAGGTTATGAAGACAAATCCACAAGGGTTCATATCTTGGCACTACCACGCTCTCGGGTTATCTCGGGCACACGACGAACCCATTCGCTCGGCTAATGCTAGGCAGAGCGCTTGTTGGCTGCTGAATGTAGCTGTAGGCGCTGAGGAAAGACTAAACGAGGCTAATCTGCCCTTCCAGCCTCGGTGTCTTGGTGTTAGAGGACAGCCTGAGGGTGTTGGCAGCTGGGACCCGCCCTGAGAACCCCCGAGCCACAGCAGCTGCTCCCGCGCCGCCCAGCTGTTGCCGAGACCACGCGTCAGCCGCCGTCCGGGACCTCCACGCCTCGCTTCCGGCCAGCCGCTCTATTCTTCCGCTTCTCTATGGTGTACAGGAAGAAGCCTGTCTGCCGCCGGAAGTGGCCCGCCGCCACCGCGGGTTCGGGACTCCGAGCTGTGAGTAGGGCGCCGGGGCTGCGGGGCTTGCCGGAGGGGCGGGGCTGGGCGTTCCGGGGTCGAGGTGCAGACGTCCCCGGGGACGTCCCCAAGTTGGGGGCCGAGCCGAGTTCTCGGTGCTCACGCTCCGGGGTCTCCAGCCGCTCGGCGCCGCCTGATTAGTCTCTCCAGGTGAAAATGTCGGGCTGCAGCTGCGTCGGGCCCCGCATGGTAGCCTGTAGGGGCCGATGATGTCGATGTCGGAGGTGGTGGTGGTAACAGCTCACATTTATTGTGTGCTTGCTTACGTGTGCCAGGCTCTCTCTACCGGGTTTCCGAAGTCAGGATTTCCCACATTTCAGCCTTTCGCGTCCCACCTTCGTGGATTTTGCCCAGTCAATTTACTGTTTAAGACTCCGCTAAAGGTTTTTAATCGAGTCGCCTTTTACTTCTTAAACGTGAATTTCCTTTAAGAGAAATTTTAATGTTTCTCCCCTAAATGGAGGCTTGTCCTATGCAGAAGGTAATGATAAAATTAATATGTTTAACATGAAAACATTGTTGGTTTTGGCTAGATTTCATTGTCTAAGGCTCTGAGAGTCCTTTTGTTAACAAAGGAACATTGGTGTTCATAGTCGTTAAAGACAAACTAGGGAAATGAAATGTTCTCCTTGAAGCAATCGGAGGTTTCTCAAAAGAATTGAAAAGGGATTAACTTTCTCCGTAGGTGTTCAGCATTATTTCAGATCACCCATGTACCATCTAAAGCCCCACGCCTAGGTCATCTTCATCACCTTCCCCAGTAGAGTGCCTCCTGTGTCAATGTCCACAGCAACCCCTGAGGTAAGGACTGTTATTCTCATTTGATCTGTGTGGAAGCAGGCCCAGGACTCCCAGCGGTAGAATGGTAGAGTGGAGACTCCAACTGGGCTTCTGTAACTACCATGAGCCATTGGTTCCTTCAGTAAATGTTGGTGAGAGATTTGGGCTACGGGGGATTGTGCTGCCACCTCGGGGCTGTAGTGACAACCAGAAAACGTAGCAGAGGGAGGATGCTTTGTGACCCTACAGCCCCATGATAAGTAGGTTTTATTCTTTTAAATTTTAGGGCCATCTGGAGAGTTGATGGCATTGCCGGGTAAGGTGGTAGCAAGACACACTGGTGTCACAATAATATAGTTGTTGAGAGCACTGTTGTGGCGTTAGATGGACCCAAGCTTAAGCATACTAGCTGTGTGACTTTTGGCACCTCATTCACCTTTCTAAACTTCAGTGTTCTCAACCATAAAATGGTACTTGTTCTATCTGAAAGGTTTCTTACAAGGATTAAGTGAGAACATACCCTTAAAGTACTTAAATCAGGTCCAGCACACAGTGATCAATCGATAGTATTGGGACCAAGTATATATGCTAGGCTGAGGAGTTTAGTCAGGGATATGGTTGTGGTGCCTTTAAAGAGGGTGGAGCTGGAGAAGATGAGTTTGTTTGGGTCAGGCTGAGGGATGATTCCTCCCTTTTCTTTGAGAGGGACTGAGCAAGCTCCGAGTGTGGATGGGGGGAGGGTGGTGCAGAGGAAGAGAATCAACTCCACTCCTAGCACAGAACCCAATGCAGGGCTTGAACTCAGAACCCTGAGATCAAGTGTCAGCCACTTAACCAACTGAGCCTGGGCATCTCATTCTCCTTTTTAATTTTTTTTAAAGATTATATACATTCATTAGAGAGGGAGAGTGCATGAGCAGGGAGGAGGGGCAGAGGGAGAGGGAGAAGCAGATTCCCCACTGAGTAGGGAGCCCAGTTGGGGCTCCATCCCAGGACCCAGGAACCCTGGGACCATAACCTGAGCTGAAGGCAGGGCCTTAACTGACTGAGCCACCCAGGCACCCCTCCCCATTTTTACAGAGGATTAAACAGGCTTTGGAGGGTTCAGTGACTTTTTTTTTTTGAGTTACCAAGGGCATAAGTAACCAGAACTACTAGTTAGATTTCAGTATTCTGACTCCAGGAATATCTTCAACTCTAAAAAATCTTAAGTTTCCTCTTTTTAAAAGGTCTTTGCTGTTTCCTTCTGACCTCACCAAACAACCATGTCATCAGAATCGAGCAAAAAACGGAAGCCCAAAGTGATCCGAAGTGATGGAGCTCCAGCTGAAGGGAAGCGTAACCGATCTGACACAGAGCAGGTGAGATCAGCCAGGGCTGCCACACTGCTAAGAAATTACAGCTTGTGGCCAGTCACCTGTCTATGAGTTTGCAGCAGCTGAGGATCATGGGGACAGCCTCCCAGGTAACCTGTGCTTGACCAGGTGCCTGGAATTCCCTTGGTTCTGCAAACCTGAGTATTCACATCTGGTTTCGCTATAGCATCCCAAGAACCAACAAGCCTATATTAGGCATGAACAGTCCTGAACAGAGAATGCATTCTTGTATGGTGTATGTCTCTAATTTTCCTGATGGTCAGAAGAAGCCAGTATCTGTAGCATACCACTGGGATTGGGATCCCTGGTCTGCTGCTAAGACAGTACCAAAACAACATCCCCACAAAATCTCTTCTGTAGCCTGAGAGCACATGTGGTCAGCAGATGAAGACCTACTGTCTTAGAGACTTTCAAATTACAATATAGTATCATTAGCCATAGGAGACTCTGTCTTCAAGAGAAGTGTTGTGTTCATTCCAAAGGCTGGACAACCAATTATGATACTTTAGTCTCTGCTAAAGCTTGATTTGACTAAACACTCATCAGTAGGAATTTGGTTAAATGAATTCTGGTCATCTATTTAGTGAATTATGTGGCCATTTTGATGGATATTTAAATTTATTGGGATGAGAAACTGCACTAAATAGCATGGGCAGTATGATCCCGTTTTGTTTAAAATTTGTGTTTATCCATAGTATTAAAAATAGTTATTTGAGGCTGGGACATGAGATTACAGGCAACTTTTCAATTCGTTTTTGTTCTCACTTCTCACTATTTCTGAATGTCTGACACGAAACATGCATTACTTTATAATTAAAAGAAGAGAGGAATTCTTTTCCATTTTGAAAAGAAGAAAAACATTTGATTTAAGGACCAGATTTTTTAGAGACCTGATGTGGGGTTTCATTGTTCCTGATTCCAGCCAGGTGTCCTGATCCCAACAGGGAAACTTTTATTCCCCACTCAAGGCCTGTCTTCTTGCCTCCACAGGAGGGTAAATACTACAGTGAGGAGGCTGAAGTGGACCTGCGGGACCCTGGCAGAGACTATGAGCTGTACAAATACACGTGCCAGGAGTTGCAGAGGCTCATGGCTGAGATCCAGGACCTGAAGAGCAGAGGAGGCAAGGATGTGGTAAGGAATGGGACTGGGATTGGGCAGACATCAGCCTGGTGGGTTTGCATGGATGGACTTGTTTTGCACCCATCAGAGAGCCCTTCCTCATCTTGGTTGTCGTCATCGTCGTCGTCTCCTTTTTTTTTTAAGATTTTATTTATTTATTCATGAGAGGCCGAGACAGGCAGAGGGAGAAGCACACTCCATGCAAGGATCCCGATGTGGGACTCGATCCCGGGACTCCGGAATCACGCCCTGAGCCAAAAGCAGATGCTCAACTGCTGAGCCACCCAGGCATCCCTCATCTTGATCTTCTGTACTAGTCATGATCAGGTGGTTGGAGTTTGGGGGCTCCAGAGTCATGCCCATTAATTTATTGGAATTTATTTCATCACCACCCAACCACCAATTACAGTAGCAAATGTACAGGACAATTAATTTTTCTCATAACTGCAGTTTGATAATTCATCCAAGTGGTGTTTATTACTTGCTGGGCACTTTGCTAGGTGTTGAGAAATGATAATACGTGTAAATTTCTTTGCTGCGTTAAGAATGGATATGCATAAGTATATCATAGAAACTAGAAATGAGGGACCCCTGGGTGGCTGAGCGGTTGAGCATCTGCCTTTGGCTCAGGGCGTGATCCCGGGGTCCTGGGATCGAGTTGACATCGGGCTTTCTGCATGGAGCCTGTTTCTCCCTCTGCCTGTGTCTCTCTCATGAATAAATAAATAAATCTTAAAAAAAAGAAAAGAAACCAGAAATGAAGTTATTAACATTAAATGAATGGGATAAACACAAAACATGTTTCCAAGAACCTCACTTAGTTGTGCCTACACTGGCCAATATTATGATTATTATGCCATAGTTATAGTTTACAACTATAATCCAGGGTTTGTAGCTATAATCTTAATATTTTCACTTAAGTTATTCACAGAGGTTAAATTATATGGCAGGGTGTTGCTATAATCTTCAATCCCTATTACTTCAGTCCGAGCAGAAATTATTATTTATTTGTCTGGTAACCTTAAGCATTTCCCTTACAGTCGTTTTTCCATTTCCCACTGGCACTTTTCTTGGTTCTGAGCTTCTTCTAGTACCTTTTTTTGGCCCTGGATAGGGATGGGTCAGCAGTGAGGTGCCAAAGGAAGCTCAGCCAGCACCTGTTGACAAGATTTTTACCAGTTTTCTTTGCCTACAGGCAGTTGAGATTGAAGATCGGAGGATCCAGAGCTGTGTGCACTTCATGACTCTAAAGAAGCTTAATCGATTAGCCCACATCAGGTTGAAGAAAGGAAGAGATCAGACCCATGAGGTAGAAATTAAGAGGTTTAGTCTTCCTCCTTTCTCTTTCCCATGTTCCCTTCTTAATCCCCTTTACCTCTTCCTTAAGTTTGCTACTGCTCTATCTGACCTGACTTGCCCCACTCACCTCTGACCTTGTCCTCCTTTCAGGCCAAGCAGAAAGTAGACGCCTATCACCTGCAGCTCCAGAACCTGCTGTATGAGGTGATGCACCTGCAGAAAGAGATCACCAAATGTCTGGAGTTTAAGTGAGTTTTGGAGACTTTAGCAAAATTGTCTATTGGTAACTGCTTTTTTCCTATATAGCTCAGTGTGCACTAGTCTCCTTAAAAAGAAAGCAGATGGGCTTGGAAGCTGCAGGATCTGGGACAAGGGTGAATAGATCACTTTGAGTGGGACAATGGAAGCAGTGTTTTCAGGCTGCACAAAGAACCTTGGAAACATGTCTGACTTTTTTAAGTCTTGAGCTCTGCACCTGGTCAGAAGCAGTTGTCTTTCTCCAGCTGGGGCTTATACATTACCATTTCAATTCCTGGTCACCTTGCATGGGAGTAACTCCCTTCTAGTCATCCTTTTAACCTTCTGGCCCAGTTTTCCTCTCCAAAATTTCCAACCATTTATTTTTGCACCTAGATTTTATTCCTTAGAATCTGAACTTCTTGCTACGTGGCTGCCTTCAGGTGACCAAACTGTAGTTTGTCAGTGTCCATCTTAAAGTGTAATGCCTCTTGGCAAATCTAAGCTGAGAGATGAGGAAAGCGTAGACAGAGGAAGAGAAGGGAGTGTATGGTTGCTTGGCCAGACCTATTTGTGCAAACTGAAAAGTCAGGTTTTATTTGTAATAAACTTGGAATGAGAGGGGCACATCAGTCATTGAGTCTGGTGCATTTTTTGATAATTCTGATTTTTAAGAGGCATCTTTATCTGCTTTACAAATTCATCGTGTAATAATAGTTAAATACTAATAGAGGTGAAATTCACATCAAACTTGCACCTGATGGAATGCCTGGGTTGCTCATTGGTTGGGCACGACCTGCCTTCAGCTCAGGTCGTGATCCCGGGGTCTGGGATCGAGTCCTGCATCGGGCTTCTTATTGGGAGCTTGCTTCTCCCTCTGCCTGTGTCTCTGCCTCTCTTTCTCTCTATCTGTGTCTCTCATGAATAAATAAATAAATCTTAAAAAAAAAACAAGCAACTTGCACCTGAATTAATAGTATTGCATCATCATTGTTTCCTGGTTTTGATAACATAATATGTATAGGTAAGATATTATTATTGGGGGAACCCAGGGGAAGAGTACAGAGGAAATATATGCTCAGTACTATTTTTAAAACTAATTGTGTATCTTAAACTGTTTAAAAATATTAAAAACAAAAGAATGTGATGCCCCAAGCTATAATCATCACTCAGATGAAAGCTGACAAATGTAGAATTCAGTAGAATCCTGGCCTGTGGAGAGACAGATGACCACCCTTGGCCTTAGCCTGGGTTCAAATCCCAGCTCTACCACTCACTAGCTGTGTGACCTTGGGCAAACTACTCAACTGTGGAAGTCTCTATCTCACTTGAAATATGGCGATAGAAATCCCCATATGTAAGTTTTCATGAGAATTAGGTGGAGTGAAGTTGGCATATCGTAGGTGCTTACCGCCTCATAGCTGCTGTTATTACCGTCATCTGTCCACAACTTGTGCACTACTGTGTTAGTGCAGGAAGGAGCATTGAATTTCTTTTCTTTTATACACATGCATCACTCTACATAAAATAGTTGAAGCCTCTAGATATGCTGGATCTTCCCTGTCCCATGCTTAGGCAGTTAATGTTTTGAACTAAGCACAGACCCTTATGTTTTTTCCTGTTAAATGTCCATTCTTGGTTTCAACCTGGCAGTCTAGGCCTAGACTGTAATGTTTTTATTGACTCTTTCAGATCTTAGTTCTTGCTAAACTTGGGACATCTGTAAATTTGATAAGCATCCCTTCCAGGTCTTCAGCTAATTCATGGATAAAACAGTTGGACACCATGGATAAGAATCCTGTGGTATGTCACCAACTACCTCTCTTCAAAGTGAAACGTTTACTAATGAACGTTTGCTGGGAAGACTGTATTCTGTGTTCCTGTTGTAGACCAGGGCTATGTGAGCATACATGGAGGGAACTGTGGGCCCACTTAATCCATGGTTTGGGATCCTGAGAACAGCAACTTGACATCTAGTTTTTGCTTGCAGGTCAAAGCATGAAGAAATTGATCTGGTCAGTTTAGAGGAGTTTTATAAGGAGGCTCCTCCAGATATTAGCAAGGCTGAAGTCACGATGGGAGACCCTCACCAGCAAACCCTTGCACGTCTGGACTGGGAGCTGGAACAGCGGAAAAGGTTGTGTACCCTCCTTCCTGACCTGATTAATCTTGCAGACACAGACCTTTAGCCATGGAGTGCTTTGGTATGACCCACAATCAGACAGCAAAGCTCTGTGGAACCAGCAGAATGATTTATTACCAAATCCCATTTTGTAATTAATTCACACCTAGACCAACGGGATTGTGGATGGGGATGGAATTGCTTAAGGCTGTTAATTTTTGGAATAACTTTTTTTTTTTTTTAATTTTAACACTTGAGACCTAAATACCTTTTGTATTTTAAATCTAATTTTGTTTTTTTTGGTTTTTTGGTTTTTTTTGCTTTTTCCCCTGCCTCTAATACTGTCCATGTGGTATCTTAAAGGTCTGCAGACATCATTTTAGAAGGTTAGAGAACATTCCTGTGTATAGACAAATTATAATTTATATAATGTTTTCTCTGTTGAAGTTATCACTTTTTGCTCTCATAAATTTTGCTTTAAGGCACACCTTTGGGACACCTGGCTGGCTCAGCGGTTGAGCATCTGCCTTTGGCTCAGGACATGATCCCGGAGTTCCGGAATTGAGTCCTGTACTGAGCTCATGCATGGAGCCTGCTTCTCCTCCTCCTGCCTATGTCTCTGTCTCTCTCTGTGTCTCTCATGAATAAATAAATAAAATCTTAAAAAACACACACACACACATCTTTACATATAAAAAATTTCTTGTACTAATAAAGATATTGTTTATTAATGTAAATACATTTATTCTGTATAATTTAATCTAGGTCTTTTTAAGAACATGATGTATTTTTCATAATGGATTTTTCATGGCTGCATCCCTTTCGTTATAGTAACTTTCTTCCCCTATATTTGTATGAGAATGCTAGAGCTTTTTGTTGACACATCTACTCTGTTTTCCATTGGAGAAGCAGGTGTTTTTGTTCCTTTTTTTTTTTTTAATAGAATGTATTTTATGCCTTCAGTCCATGTTATGAATTCAATAAGCACTAAGTGTGGTTCTTATGGAATTGGTGTTAGGTTTTTAACAGTTGGGGTGGTCCCATCCCTCCCCTGTCTGGTATACTGCTTGTGTTGACACAGGCCAAACCATGAGTGTTGTATTCCTGTGGTGCAGAATCCATCCCCACCCTCCCCCACTCAGGCCATTGTGTGGGCCTCATTTGTGTCCTCTGGTTGCTAGATCCATGTGTTTGTGTAAGTTTTGGCTCTACACCCTAGAGGCAAGAAAGGGAACAGGAAATGACATGACGATATCCCCTAGTGGCTAATGGGCAGAGCCTCTGGAAATGGACAAGCATGGATTCAGAACCCAGCTTTATATGTGCTCTTAGCTGAGTTACCTTGGCAAGTTACCTACCTCCTTTAGCCTTTGTTTCTTCCTTTGGGGAAAAGAAGAGTCCCCATCTTCCAGGATTTTTTTTTTTAAGATTTTATTTATTCATGAAACAGAGTGGCAGAGACATAGAGGGAGAAGCAGGTTCCCTGTGGGGAGCTCAATTCAGGACTCAATCCCAGGAGCCCAGAATCACGCCCTGAGCGGGAGGCAGACATTCAACTGCTGAGCCAACCAGGCGTCCCTCTTTCAGGATTTTTATAAGGATTAAATGCAGTAATGCTTATGAAGAGTTCTCTAAGTACTTGGTACATAATAAGTGCTAGGTAAACAGTTAATCATAACCGCTACATGGAGACAGGTAGGTGGATTAGGTAGATTGTGACAGTCCATAGGTATGTCGGGAGATCTCAGGAATTTTATTTATTTATTTTTAAGATTTATTTATTTATTCATGATAGACAGAGAGAGAGAGAGGCAGAGACACAGGCAGAGGGAGAAGCAGGCTCCATGCCGGGAGCCTGATGCGGGACTCCATCCCGGAACTCCAGGATCGCGCCCTGGGCCAAAGGCAGGCGCTAAACCACTGAGCCACCCCAGGATCCCCCATCTCAGGAGCTTTAAGTGACAGTGGTCTGTCCTCTCCCAATAGACTGGCGGAGAAGTACCGAGAGTGCCTGTCCAACAAGGAGAAGATCCTCAAGGAGATTGAAGTGAAGAAGGAATACCTGAGCAGTCTCCAGCCTCGCCTCAATAGCATAATGCAGGTGAGAATCTCGCCTATACTCTCCAGCATTGGCCAAGCAAATTGGCATTTGCTTTGCCTTCAGCACCCAAGTAAGACCTTGCTGACCTCTAAGACCTCGCTGACCTGTGGCTTTCAGCAGCCATGTCTCCCTTGGGTTTTGCCAGGTCTGTTACCCTAATGGGTGTCAGAGCCCAGTACAAGGATGGTCCTGTTGGCAGTTTCTGCCCAGCCAGTATAGTAAGGTGTCCTGGGAGGAAGAGATGCTGCTGGGTGGGCTCAGGAACACATTTACCTGGGATATTTTCTTTTCACCCAGAGTTTCTTCCAGGTAAAATACTTTTGCAGACTCTAGGTTTAGTTTACCCCCAGAATGGTTTTAACCAGCCCCACAGTCTCCAGGCATCTAAGCCTGCTTCTGTGGATATCTGTTACAGTCCCTGACTTTGGGAGAAGATGTTCACCAGATGTCCTCTGAAAAGAACTTTACTCATATTCGAAAGGCATTAGGTACCATCAGAGGAAAAAGTCCCCACTTTAAAATGTAATATAAACTGTAATATTTCTACACTTTCTACGTAGGAAACCTGATTTTTGTTTGCTTTGTGAGGCCAGATTTGCTCTAAATCTTTTACAGTATTTTTTTGTTTGGGTTGTTGTTTTAAAGATTTTATGTATTTTTTTGAGAGAGAAAGGGAGCACAAGCAGGGGGAGGGGCTGAGGAAGAGGGACAAGGAGACTGTGCTGAGCAGGGAGCCTGATGGGCTCGATCCCAGGATCCTGGGATCATGACCTGAGCCACAGGCAGACACTTAACCAACTGAGTCACCTATGCACCCCTGTTTGTTTTTGTTTTAAATAAACACTATGCCCAGCATGGGGTTTGAGCTCAAGACCCCAAGATCAGGAGTCCAGCCCGGCACCCCTCTAAATTCTCATAGTTTTATATAGCAGAGTAAATGGTAAAATATGGAGGAACTTTGCAAAAAGACCCTAGAGAAAATAAAAATTCCCTTTCCTAGGATTTGGAAAGATCTGCATTTCCCCCCTTCAATTCTAGGCATAGAATTAGAATTGTTAACAAATATTCTCAGTAGCACTTCATAGTAGGACAAAAAGAAAACAAACTAAAAGTTTGAGTTGTACTTCATTTTTCCTGTTTTTTTTTTGTTGTTGTTGTTGTTTTTAGATTTCATGTATGTATCCTGTTTGTTTTTTTTAAGATTTTATTTATGTATGTGTATATGTATATAGGTATGAATGAATGAATGAATGAATGAATGAATGAATGAATGAGAGGGTGTAGGAGGAGGAGCAGAGGGAGTGGGACAAGCAGGCTCCATGCCCAGTGCAGAACTTGATCTCGGTCCTGAGATCATGACCTGAGCCCAAATCAAGAGTCACATGCTTAATGTATTGAGCCACCCAGGCATCCCTTAATTTTTCCTATTAACTTGGAATCTCTAAATGTGCCTAAATAGGGTACTGGTTAAATAAATTATTGTATGGTACAGCCCTACAGCTGTGATGGAAATATAAAGCATCATATCACTGATAATTGGATAATTGGACAGAACAAAGACTTATCATGTAATTAAAACCATGCCCATTGTAAAACAAAGTGCAATTTCATTATATATCTTTGTTGATAAAGTATCCATATGGGTATGTACATGTGTGAGTCCAGTATATGCTTAGAGGAATCACTAAGTCATTAACAATTACTTTTGAGTTTGGGGACTGGGAGGTTTGTTTATTTTATTTTTAAAGTAGTCTTCGTCCAATGTGGGTGTCAACTCATGACCATAAGATCAGGAGTCATATGTTCTACTAACTAAGCCAGTGAGGTGTCCCTGGAAGTTTTTGCTTTATAAACTTGAATACAACTTTTTATTTTTATTATTTTCATTTTTATTTTTATTTTTTTAAGATTTTATTTATTTATTCATGAGAGGCACACAGAGAGGCTCCATGCAGGGAGCCCGACGTGGGACTCGATCCCGGGACTCTAGGATCACGCCCTGGGCTGAAGGCGGCACTAAACCGCTTCAGCTTTTTATTTTGCTGAATAATAAAAAGTGCCCCAACTTTTTATTTTTATGTAGGCTCCACACCCAGTGTGGAGCTTAAACTTATGATCCTGGGATCAAGACCAGAGCTGAGGGGCACCTGGGTGGCTCAGCCGGTTAAGCATCTGCCTTCAGCTCAGGTCACAGTTTTGGGGTCCTGGGATTAAGCTGTGTGTTAGGCTCCCTGCTCAGCGGGGAGTCTGCTTCTCTCTCTCCTGCTGTTCCTCCCCCCTGCTTGTGCACTCTCTTTCTCTCTTAAGTAAATAAAATCTTAAAAAAAAAAAAGACAGTATCAAGTGTTGGTGAAGATGTAGGAACAATTAGAACTTCCAAAAAAAAAAAAAACATAGAACTTTCATATGGTGCTGGGGGGGAATTTTGTAAATCAGTGCAATCCCTTTAGAAAACTGTGTTTCAGTTTTATTTAGTTTTTATTTATTATTTAGCCAAAGCTAAATAATATGGCTAGCATACTCTGACCCAACAGTTTCATCCCTGGGAATATATTCAACAGAAATAGGTACACAAGGGCAACAAAGGACAAAGAATGCTTGCAGCAGCATTATTCATAATAGCCCCAAACTGGAAGTACTCATATAATCAAATACTAAGTATCAATGAAAATAAATGAACTCCTGGTGCTCACAACAGTATAGATGGAATCCCACAAACATAATGTTGAGCAAAAAAGCCAGACACAAGAATATATATTATACGATTCCATTTGTGTAAGTTCAAAAATGACCCAAACTAATCTTATGATGTTAGAAATCAAGATACAGTCACTGGGGATGCGGGGGTGGGAGGAGTTAGTGACTGAGAGGGGAAATAAAATAGCTTCTGGAAAATTGGTAATGGTCATTTTCTTGCTTTGGGTGCCAGTTAAATAGATGTGTTCACTGAGCTATATGCTTATGAACTGTATGCTTTCTTTCCTATACATAAAATTATTTTTTAAGATGTAATATATGTGCGTTGTTTTAAAAAGTTATATTAGAGGGAAAAAAAAGTTATATTAGAGATGCCTGGGTGGCTCAGTTGGTTAAGCATCTAATTTTTTTTTATTTTTTTATTTTTTATTTTTTATTTTTTATTTTTATTTATTTATGATAGTCACAGAGAGAGGGAGAGAGAGATAGAGACACAGGCAGAGGGAGAAGCAGGCTCCATGCCCGACGTGGGACTCGATCCCGGGTCTCCAGGATCGCGCCCTGGGCCAAAGGCAGGCGCCAAACCGCTGCGCCACCCAGGGATCCCTAATTTTTTTTTATTAACTCTTGGATTACCTCGTTTATAAAAGGCTTCTTCAAGTCTTTGGCTCATTTTTCTGTTGAATTACTTGGTCTTTATATTTTCTGGACATGAGTCTTTTGCAGATATTTTTTCCATTTTGTGACTTTCTTTTTCACTCTCAATGTTACCTTTTAATGAGTAGATGTTCTTAATTTTCATATGATCTAATTATCAATGTTCTCCTGTAAGGTTAGTGTTTTCATGTCCTTTTTAAGAAATCTATCTCTAGGGGCACCTAGGTGGCTCAATGGTTGAGCGACTGCCTTTGGCTCAGGTCATGATCCTGTAGTCCAGGAATCGAGTCCCGCATTGGGCTCCCCACCCACAGGGAGCTTGCTTGTCCCTCCACCTATTTCTGTGTCTTTCATGAATAAATAAATAAAATCTTAAAAAAAAAATCTCTCTCTGACGCAAGGTCATGGAGATATTCTCTTTTTTTTTTAATTAAATAAAATGTTTAAAGATTTTATTAATTTATTCATGAGAGACACAGAGAGAGAGAGAGAGGGGGGGGGGGCAAAGACACAGGCAGAGGGAGAAGCAGGCGCCATGCAGGGAGCCTGACGTGGGACTCAATCCCAGGACTCCAGGATCAGGCCCTAGGCCGAAGGCAGGTGCCAAACCACTGAGCCACCCAGGGATCCCTCTCTTGTTTTTTTTAAATAGAAGCTCTTTTGTATGTCTTTCACATTTAGATCTCTAGGTTTCCTGGAAGGAAATGTTGTATGTAGTATGAGGTAAGGGTCAGATTGATTTTTTTTTCCCCCATGTTAGGTATTCAGGTGGGCCATTTATTGAAAAGCCCATTCTTTCCCCACTGCTGCAGTACCACTTTTGTCATAAATCAAATGTCCATGTAGGTTTGTGTATGGTCTATTTGTCTATCCAGGCATCAATACCACACTGGCTTATTTACCATAGCTTTATCAGAAGTCTTGATGCCCAGTAGCATATATCCTCGAGCTGAATTTTTCAGGATCATCTTGGTTATTCTTGGCCCTTTGCATTTAACAAAATAAATTTTAGAATTAGCTAGTCAATTTTCACCTGCTGGGATTTAGAGTGGGATTGCATTGAATCTGTAGATTGCTTTGGAGTGAAATGATTTCAAGACAATATTGAGTCTTCCAGGCCATTAACACAGCATATATCTCCATTCATTTAGATCTTTGATTTCTCAGGCCTTTCTGTAGAGACTTACATACCTTTCACTTATATATGTTTAGGTTAGTTGAGTTTTTTTTTTTTTTTTAAGATTTTATTTATTTATTCATGAGAGACAGAGAGAGGCAGAGACATAGGCAAAGGGAGAAGCAGGCTCCCTGTGGGGAGCCTGATTCAGGACCTGATTCCAGGACCCTGGGATCACACCCCGAGCCAAAGGCAGATGCTTAACCACTGAGCCACCCAGGTGCCCCTAATTGATGTTTTCTTGATGCTGTTGAAAATGGATCTTTTTTTAAGTTCATTTTCTTACTGTTCACTGTTTGTATAAATAGAATTTTTTGTATTGACCTTTTATCTACCTATTTTGTTAGCTTATCATGTATTTTTAGTAAATAAAAAGCTATTTTGGTAATTCAGCAGCCACCTCTTCACATGTGGACTGCCTAAAAAGAGAAAACAAAAATCCTTCTTTTCTTGCACACAGGCTTCCCTCCCAGTGCAAGAGTACCTGTTCATGCCGTTCGACCAGGCTCACAAGCAGTATGAGACAGCTAGACACCTGCCACCTCCCCTCTATGTCCTCTTTGTCCAAGCCACTGCATATGGGCAGGCCTGTGGTGAGTACGGGGCTTGGTGAGGATGAGGGGCTGTGGGAGCAGCAGCCTTGGCCGTTTGAGTCATTTGGAAGCCCTGCCTGCTGAGGAAAGCTCCCTGGTCCTGCTCAGAAGCCCACAGGTGACAGATGCTACATCCCTGCCGCACCACCCAGCATGGCTGCTTTGACCAGCTGGCCTGAGGCTAGACTAACCTGGTAGGCATTTCAGAATGGATGGCTTTGAACTTTTGATGAGCCTGGCTGGTCACCTGTTGGGTGCAGTGCCCAGGCAGCCTCTCTGGGCTCCCACTCAGCCCATCAAGGCACACTTGGCAGGTGGATCGGCACCTCTTGACCCTCTTCAGAGAAAGGACTTGGTAAACACAGATCCCAGGCAGCTTTCCTAGGCTTTTACCACGCCCAAACCAGCTGCATGTCACTACAGTGAATTACCAAGTGGGAAGATGTCTCTGCTTTAAGCTTAAGGGCAGTCTTTACTTCGTTAGGATTTTGAAACGTTTTTGGAGACCTTAACTTTTGCCCTACTGCAGCTTTCACCCAGCATCTAAAGTTTTCTTCTTCACCCCATCGCATCAGACAGACATGTTTCGCACCAGCGCATGCTTCTCCCAGCCATGGGCACCGACACATTACTGTCTCTCTTCTTGTATCTTCCTGGTCCTTCTGGTCCTCTCCCTCCCTTTTGTTCTCCTTCTTGTTTCCATCATCAGCTCATATGAAATCCTCCCAGCCCCCTAGACAGGGTGAGTAATTTTATTTTCTTTTGTGTTTAAACCCATCCTGTTTCCTTTCCCATTTTACTGTAGAATTTCAGGATTAAGCTACCCAAAAGAATAGTTTGGTATTTGCCAGTGGTTGGTGGGGGCAGCCAGTGTGTTTGGGGTGAGGTATGTTGGGTCATGCAGAGCATTCAGAGACCAGTGGCCAGCCACCTGGGAGTATTATCTCAGTGGTAGAGGAAGTTTGCCACCCCTCCTTAGTGCAGTTGATCAAACCGTTTCTGGCTCCTGTGACTACCTGTAACCTGTATACCCTTTTGAATGGAGCAGGAGGAGTGGTGGTTTGTCTTGACCTTCCAACACTAGACGTATGGAGTTCTTTAAAGGCAGGACAGGTGTGACCTAGGGAAGTCAGTCCTGGTGCATGAAACAGCCCACTTACATTTGTGCTTGAGACACTGGGCTCAAGTTCTGTAGACTTGGTCTTGAATCCTAGCCTAGCTATACTTCTGGCTATTGTATCTAACTTCTCTGAGCCTTAATTTTCTCAGTTCGTGGCTATAATAATGGTTTGGCTCTCATAGGGTTGTTGTGAAAGTTAAACATGAATTTGAAAGAAACAATTTTTTATAATTTTAAGCATCAGCTCATTTGGTCTTCACCACCCACTGGGCAGCTACCATTTGTCAAGGCAGAATTACACAGATGCAGAAAGTGGGGCTCAGAGCAGTGACATAACTTTCCAGATGTTTAGGAATTGATGGGGCAGGAACTCAGATCTGGGACTAGACTACAGAGTCCAAGTTCTGTCCAGTGCCCTGCCTCCCCAGTTAAATGTGACCATGCCGGCCAGATGCTAGGTGTAGTACAGAACAGAGAATAAGCACTTAGAGCCACCGTTTCCAGGATAGTTATGGGCTTCTGGATCAGAAACTGTAAGACAGTTGGCAGAAGGTATTTTGTGGCTTTAGGCCCTAGGTTGGGATTGGGCATTGGTGTAAGCCTAAAAGAGAGGCGTTCACCGTAGTCTCGGGTGGTGCTTGTCCCAAAAATCTGCACTTGGGTTCTTTTTTCTCAGTAAACAATGGAAAAAAGACTTAAGTTTGCTACCTTGTTCCTCTTCATCTAAAGAAAGGGCTTTTGCCTTCCTAACTCCCATTCAGTAAGTTCCTGTGACAAAGGCAGAAGAAATGCAGTCCTAGAGATAGCCTGTTTATGTAGCTTAGCTCCTTCTCTCAGCAGCTGTCATATGAAGCTTTTTCTTGCTCACAGATAAGACGTTGTCTGTGGCAATTGAAGGCAGTGTGGATGAAGCCAAGGCTTTATTTAAGCCTCCTGAAGACTCCCAAGGTAATTTAGTTGGTATCCTCTCCCAAGTCTTCCATAGCTGATTCTAGAAGCACTGGGTCATCACCCAAGGGCATAGTGCTAGTCCTTTGGAAATTAGCTGTACTGGTTCTGAGTATGAGAGAGCTTGACTTTAATAACTTAATGCTCAAGGGTAGACAGAGAGAAACCCTGCTTGTGGATTTCATCCCTGTCACTCACTAGCTCACTGGTCCTGGGAAAGCTCTTTGACATTTCTGAGACTCAGTTTACTCACCTGTCAAAACAAGATAGTAATACCTCATATAGACTATCGTGGATTAAGTGAGGTCATGCGTGCAAAGTCTTTAGCATCATTCTGGGCTCATAGCAACTCCTCAAATTGCATGAGCTGCTACTGTTGTTATTATTTATATAACTGTTGCTGCAGCCACCACCATTACCAGTGGAGGGGCTTGTGGTCCATAGGGTGACATTAAAAAGTATTTTCAGAAACGAGGGGTTGGGGTGGAATTATCAGGCATTTCTCTGTTTTTTCCTTGCATCACCGTGTCTTCTATACTGAATAAGCAGCAGCAAATTCATTTATTATGTATTCTAAAGAAACCCATTTACAAATGACACAGAGTCTTGGCCCCTTTATGCTTCGTGGGTTGAGGCACTTTAGGGAGCATTGGGACCCCCCTCCCCATCTCTAGATGCTTTAGATGCTTTTTTGTGGTTGCAGATGATGAGAGCGACTCGGATGCTGAGGAGGAGCAGACTACGGTGAGAGCTGTGTCCCCCACAAGTATGCTAAGCAACTGCCTGCTAGTTGGCAGGTGCCATTCTCCCCAGAAGCAGAAGAGAAAGGTTGGAAAGAAAGGGCTGCTGGGGGCCTGGCAGCCAGATCCCTGAAGCAGCAGGTCCCAGGCAGCAGTACCGTGGCCCTGACCTGTAGGGAGAAGGAGGGGGAGATTCATGTGACTGGTGCTTATCTGCTTTGATCTTTCCTTTGTCCAGAAACGCCGGCGACCCACACTGGGAGTTCAGTTGGATGACAAACGCAAGGAGATGCTGAAGAGGCACCCGCTATCAGTCATGCTGGACGTGAAATGCAAAGGTCTGGTTTTCCTTGTTCTGGGGGACCCCATAGCATCTAAAAGTTTGGCTAGCTGCAGGTGTACAAAGTCCAGCAAGCCAAAGTCCTCTTTGACCAAGAAAAGATTTTAGTTTCATATTTCTCTGTTTTTCCTCATTGTTTTGCTTAGAGTTTGTTTCATTTTTTTGAAGTCGTAACCATAACAACAAAACCAGGCACATAATGAATGATTGGTAGAATTACACCAATTTCTGAATTTGTTAAGTCAGATACACAGAACAAGTTCCAAGAGTATGCAGGTTTTAGTTTAGTTTTTTGTGTTTTTTTTTAAGATTTCATTTATTTATTTGAGAGAACGATAGCACAGGCCAGGGGGAGGGTCAGAGGGAACAGGAGAAGCAGGCTCCCCGCTGAGCAGGGAACCCAGTGTGGAGCTTGATCCCAGGACACTGAGATCATGACCTGAGCCAAAGGCAGATACTTAACTGACTAAGCCATTCAGGCACCTTGAGTATGCATATTTTTGAGTAATATGACCATTGTGCTTAATATAACAGACATAAGTAGAGGTTTGTATTCTGTAGAGAATATATGTTTTGAAACTAGTTTTGTATGGATAAAAAAGCACATGATAAAGCATTCTAGGAGTATAAGAGTTAACAGTTACATGCTAGTTTTTCTCTCACCTGAGACTCTCAGACTCTGATCCTTGGTCTTACCTCCAAGGACAACCATTATGACACATTTCTTATGTATTTTCTAGAACTCTTCTATGCATTAAGAAGCTTTTATACAAGTGTGTATTCTCTTTTCGTTTTAGTTTTTATACAAATGGAAACATACTGTACACACTGGTCCTCTCTATACTTTTTTTAAAAACTTATTTTGAGGTAATTTTAGACTCCATAATAGAGTTTTCATGCTCTTCACCCAGCTTCTCCTGATTGTCAGCATTTTACCTAACCACAGTACAGTGATCCACAGTACAATGACTGAGATTATGGATTTTGGGGAGGAATACCATAGATGTGTCATCATCATATCAAATCGGGTAAATGGTGTCACTGTGTCTTATTACTGGTGACGCAGACCTGGATCCACTTGGTGATCGCTTGAGATTACTTGAGCAAAGGCCTCTGGGCTGGGAGTCTAGAGCTTGTTAGAAGCAGCTAAGTCCAGCCCACACTCAAGAGGAAGGAAATAAAGTTCCCCTGTTGGAGAGAGGAGTTACTAAGAATTTGTAGACATTCTTCTTTTTTAAATCAATATAAAATTGACGTTGAGTTTTGTTTTTATAGTAAAAGTTTTTAAAGGCCTTGCTGACTTTTCTGTTCCATTACACCATAAACTGTTCTCATGTTCACCTTGTACTTGCTTTTCTTTTCCTCCTCCCCCTCCAGATGACAGTGTACTTCACTTGACTTTCTACTACCTCATGAACCTCAACATCATGACAGTAAAAGCCAAAGTGACGACCGCCACGGAGCTGATCACCCCCATCAGTGCAGGGTATTGGGCAGGCACTGTGAAAAGTGGGGGTGGCTGTGAGAAGAGCCTCAGTGTGGGCTGCTCCTGGTTCCTCACACTCTGAGGAGGTGCATGACTGTGTTGATTTCTGTTGTCACATCCACATGGCCTAGAAGTCTTGGTGCATAACTGATATTTAGGAAGCACTCACTGACTTTAGTTGGTCCTTTTACTACATAGCAGATGATAAAATGACTACAGTGTATGGCAAATTGAGTAGGCAGGGCAGAGCACTGTTTTTATAAACAGTGGAAAGGCATGAATGGAGTTTGGCAGACATTATTAGGTTGACAAATTTAAATTTAGGCCGTCCTCTTCCTTTACCTTTTCTCTCTCAAGGTGCTGGGATTTTTGTTTCACAGCTCACCCGGTACCAGGTTGTCCTTACCTGGTGGTGAGAAGAGGTTTTGAGGAAAGTGAGCAGAGGCATAATAATCATTGCCACAGGTCGAGTACCCCCAGGAAGCCCCTGACTGTGGTGGTCTTGTTCCACAGCTAGGAATAGGAAGAAGGCAAGCGGACCCAAGAGAGCCTGGACGTTAAATAGTCTCACTTACAAGAGCACTACCCTGGCCTGGCAGTCCTGCACACTGAGTCCTCGAGTTGGCTGTACAAAGACCACTGAGTGTGGCAGGAGTCTAGCGCCTGCTGGGTTGTGGCTCTTCCTGTGGCGGCTACCTGATGGTGTGGTGTCCTTGGGTTTTCTACCCTGTACTTAGCGTTCACATCCCCTTCAGGCTGCAGCCTCAGTCCCTGTGTTTGAGAGTGGTGTTTCGTCACCTTTGTGTACTTGGGATGAATTGACCCTGTTCTCACCTGGCCCCAGCAGAGGGAGCCCAGGGCTTCTTCGGGCTACACTGCCCAGCCAGAGCTCTCTATCTAGGAGCTTGAGGCAGTGGTGGAGCTTCTACATTGTGCAATGATGGGAGCAGTGCTGCTGACTGCTTACCAGCTGGACTCAGAACCCCAGTGTGTCCCCAGTCTGCCACTTACAGCTGTCCACTGAGTCTGCTTTCTCGCTCTGGTCATTAATTGTGATATCCCCTTTGAGGGTGTTCATGAAGGATCGGGTTCAGTGCTTAGTGTAGGTGAAGCACTTGGTAAATAACAACTGTGTTTATCATCATGAACTTGCTTAACTCTTCACAATTTTATAAGGGGAGGAAACTGAGGCCTGTGTACCTCTGTACTGTATGCCTGTCATTGAGAGGTGGGCTGTGGCCCCAGAAGAGAACCAGGATTATAGCAATTACATCTTTATGGGCCTTCAGGTATGTCTAGTTCATCCCTCTCTTTTCCAGATAGAGAAACTGAAATTCAAAGGGTATATGATCAATTATGGAAGCCCCTAGCCTAGGGCTCCAGACTCCCACCCCAGAGGCCTTTGCTCAAGTACCCCTGCTTTGGCCCCTGGAGATACCAGCCCGGTATATGGTTCTATTTGTTTATCTACTAAACATAAGGATACTTTTTTCTCCCTAGTATAATCATAGTCTCACACTAATTCTTTAATATCATCCAATATCCAGTCAGAGTTCAGATTTCCCTGATTTTCTCACAACTGTTTGTTTTTACGTTGGGTTTTGAATCTGGATCTCTGTAAGGTCCAGATGTTAAAATTGGGTGAAGCTTCTCTCAAGCTTCTTTTCATCTGAATGTTGCTGCCATGTGTTTATTTATTTAGGGGAATGGGTTGTTGTTAGGTATGTTTCTCCAGTCTGGATTTTGATTGCATCCCTACAGTGCAATTTAATGAGTTATTTACTCCCTTTGCATTTCATGTAAATTATAGTCAGATTTAGAGGCTTGATCAGATTTGGTTTTTTGTTTGGTTTGGTTTGGGTTGGGTTTTTTGTTGAGGGGACAGGAGCAGGACAGTATCATAGATGCCGAGTACTTTGATCAGGAGGCACAGGTGATTTATTTTTGTAGCATTAGCATTGACGACCATTGCCAGGATCTATTCTTTATGGAATTGATGTATTTTGGGGGGGTTTTTTTTTTCAAAGATTTTATTCATTTATTCATGAGACACACACAGAGAGAGAGAGAGAGAGTAAGAGAGAGGCAGAGATAGAGGCAGAGGGAGAAGCAGGCTCCACGTAGGGAGCCCGAAGTGGTACTCAATCCCGGGTCTCCAGGATCAGGCCCTGGGCTGAAGGCGGCACTAAACTGCTGAGCCACCTGGGCTGCCCCAAGTTTGTTGGGTTTTTTAAAGATTTTATTTATTTATTCATGAGAGACATGGAGAAGGAGGCAGAGACATAGGCAGAGGGAGAAGTAGGGAGCTTCTGATGCTGCACTCGATCCCTGGACCGAGGATCACGCCCTGAGCTGAAGGCAGACGCTCACCACTGAGCCACCCAGACGTCCCACAGAATTGATATTCGTAATACAAATGATTTAATGTTTAACCAACCTTGCTAAATATTCTTCAAGAAATTATTTTCCAGAGGACCCTGATCCCAGGGTCCTGGGATGGAGTCCCATGTTGGGCTCCCCACTTGACAGAGAGTCTGCTTCTCCCTCTGTCTCTTCCCCCTGCTTGTGATCTATCTCATACTCTCTCTCTTTTTCAAATAAATAGATAAAACCTTTAAAAAACAAAGAAAAGAAAGAAAAAAATTATTTTCCAGATGATCTCCATTAGGGCATTTTAACTAATCAGTTCTTCCACTTTTAATTATTTTCCACTTTTACTTTACCAAATTTTTAATCTTTTAAAGTTTATTATTATTTTATATCAAAGATTTGAGTAATTGGGTAGTTTTTGTTGTGTTTTTTTGTTGTTTTTTAAAGATTTTATTTATTTACTCATGAGAGACACAGAGCGAGAGGCACAGACACAGGCAGAGGGAGAAGCAGGCTCCATGCAGGGAGCCCGACATGGGACTTGATCCCTGGTCTCCAGGATCACGCCTTGGGCCGAAGGTGGAGCTAAACCGCTGAGCCACCCAGGCTGCCCTTTGTTGTTGTTTTTAAAGTAGGCTCCGCAACTAGTGTGGAGCCAAGTGCAGGACATAAACTCACTACCCTGAGATTGAGACCTGAGCCAAGATCAAGAGTTGGATGCCTAACTGAGCCACGCAGGAGCCCGTTGGTGTATTTTTATGACTATATATAATCTCTCCTTTTACATCCATTATTTTAACCAAATTCATTTGTCCTGAACCACGCTTATATTTATGGATATAAATTTTGTCAAGAAGATTTAATTCTTCCATCGTGTTTTGTTAATTAGGAATACTTTATTATGCAGCTTTAGCTGTTCTGCTTTATTTTTGTTGATTCGTTCTATTAGTGATAGTCACTAAATATTGGCCAAAAGACTGACAGGTTTGTTTTAATTATTGATTGATTGATTGATTGATTGATTGATTGATGGGAAGGGGCAGAGGGAGAAGGAGAGAGAAAATCTCAAGCAGACTATGTGCTGAGCAGGGAGCCCAACTCAGGGCTCAGTCTCAGGACCACAAGATCATCATGACCTGAACTGAAGTCAGACACTTAAACACTTGAGCCACCCAGGATCCCCTAAAAGACTGATAGTTCTTATTTATTTTTTAGCCAATTCTCCATGAAAGGCAGGAGGGGAGAGAATGTAGGAGAGACAGAACAGGGAAGAGTCCAAAACTGCCACTGCCCCATTGCTAAGTTCTTAAAGCCATGCAGGGGGTCTGAGCAGCAGGATTAGTCTGTTCTGCCTGAGTTGCTCCTGATGCCTTACCTGAAAAGGTGAAGGAGAATCCCCTGCTGGTTGAGGGAAAGAATGATCCTTGTCCTTTGAGATCAGCTTATTCCTCTCCCCTCCCATCCCTTCTCCACTTGTCATGTTTATTACAGGCTATACCCTAACCATTCCAGGTGGGTGGCAATGGTGCTGTCTCTCTGCTTATAGCTCTGGGTCACCTTGTCTCCGCATGTGATAATGTCTTTTTCTGGGAACATAAAGGGGACCTTTCTCTGTGAGTAGCATCAGATTTGGTCAAAGTGAGATACACGTACCATCAAAGCTCTTCACTTGTTCTTTTAGAATAGAAAGGAATCTCTTATGCCCTTATGAAAATTGTGATTATTTTATCTCCAGTGTCATAGCGATTTGCTGCCTCAAGGAAAGGCCCTGGTCACCATAAACCTCTTGAAGGGATAGGATTTTCAAAAATTTGGCAGTTAGGACTACTACTGTCTTTGATCAGACAGTGCAAATCCCAGTTGTAGCACTTACTAGTAGTGTGATCTTAGACAAGCCATATCTTTCAAAGCCTTGAGTTTCTCCTCTGTAAAATGGAAATGGTTATACTCCTTCAAAGGGTTGTAAGGATCTGGGGACCTTAAGTATAAAGGGTCTGGTCCACAAGAAGATTCTGGAATTGGTAGCATGATCATCACAGTAGGTGGCATTATCATCCCCAGATGACCAAGTCTGCCTTAAGATGTTGGCCAGCGTTTTCAATGCAGTCTTTTCCCTTTTCCAGTGACTTGCTATCTCCTGACTCAGTCCTGAGCTGTTTGTATCCGGGGGATCACGGAAAAAAAACTCCAAATCCAGCCAATCAGTATCAGTTTGATAAAGTTGGGTGAGTCAGCAGTGTTTTCTCCTCTCTCAGCCTCTCTGCTTTGGAGTTTCTCTGGCAGCTCAAGCCCAGTGTTGGGGAGCTGTTAGGGCCAGAGGCCTGTCAGCAGGGAGTGGAGACCATATGGAAGGGTGGGTGGAAGGATCAAACTTGGAGGACATAACATGTGATACAAAAATAAGGTTTAACATTTTAATTTTCTGAGTATTAAAAACTTTTTAAGTGTTTTAAAAATTGGTAGGCTAGTGAAGAGATCAAGGGCACTGCCTTTTTATTGAGATTTGTTTCTAAGTTGGGGTGGAAAGAGAAAAGCAAACATGGGAGAGGTGAAATTCACAATAGGGAGATTATGAAGTTTGGAGGCTTTGCTGGCAACCTGGCTGTAAGTGTTGCTGAGCCTATAGGACCAGCCCATTTGTGGGTAGAGGGGGATAGGAGGAAGGCTACCCTGGGACCACTGAAGAAAGGACATAAAATCATTTTATGCTGTGTTCTTTTCTGTAGCATCCTGACTTTGAGAGACTATGTACTTGACCTAGGTCACCCCTATTTGTGGGTACAGAAGTTGGGTGGCCTCCACTTCCCCAAAGAGCAGCCCCAGGTGTGTACACTGATCCATTCTCCTTGGCTAAGGATCTTTACTTCCTCACCTCCTGTACAGACTCCAGAAAAGCTTCTGATGGCCTCTGGGGGCTTTGAATTATTAGAATGCTTTCCCTCCAACCTATGATCTGTCCTCCCTCCACTCAGGATACTAAAATGTCTGAGGCCTACACGTGTTCAGGTACCTTTTGCTTTCTCCCTGAGCCCAGTAGCTGTCTTGATCAAAGTAACTTGGGTCCTTGCTCTGGGTGCAGCATAGCTCCAGGCTCTGCCACCCCTCAGTCTTGGGTACAAAGATGCCAAAAATGAGGTGTCAACAGAATCCCAAGGGATCCAGCATCTCAGCAGAAGTCTTTCTTTCTCAGGAACTGGCCAGTCCTCTTAAGAACTCAGTACCTTGTATTGTTCCTGCTGGAACTAAGCATCAGGCCTGTCATAGCAGGCAAACCCTGCCATTCCCATAAGATACCATCTCAGGGTGTGGGTGGTACTGGCTACCATAGGCAAGCAGGGCCTAGGAGAGAGGCAGTGCCTGGAGGAAGGGATGGAGCACTCAGGCATGCTGCTCACTGTCATCCACAGCACACAGTGATTGCTGACCACTCGCTGAGTGCCAGCCACATGGAGACAACCATGAAACTGCTGAAGACCAGGGTACAGTCCCGCCTGGCCCTCCACAAACAGTTTGCATCCCTGGGTAAGCTAATGTTAGGGCTGTGGCTTAAGGACCACTTGGACAACACAGAAACTAAGATGACTTATCCTTTGCTCTGATGTCTTAAATCCTGGTGACACATCAAAGAAGCCTTGGTTCCTGGCTCTTGCTGAGCAGAGGTGTTGGCAGGGCCCCTGGGGGAGAGCTACCAGCCCATCTAGACAGAGATCTGAGTTCCTCTCAGGGCCGTGAAGGCTGTCCTAGCTCACAAAAGAGGCCCAAAGCCTTCTGGGTGGTCCAAGTTAGTGGACTGGTCAGGAACAGCTTATTCTAGGTTAGTGCATGTCAGACTTTAGTATACATACTACAGATATTAATAGCCTAGGTCATGCTTTGTAGAGCTTACATTTAGCTTATTTGAGTATAGCTGTTCAGGGAACCACCCCCTCATTCCTCCCCTAAGACCTATTGAGCTAGCATCCTCCATAGTGAGGCTGAACCTTAGTGTTTTTCATAAGCTCCCAGGTGATTGTGATGAGCCATTAACTAAGGTGGTGGCCAAATGGGTATTCCTTTTCATTCATTCAGTAAATACTTGTCAAGGGCTTACCATGCATAAGGCACTTGTGGAATAGTGAGAGTTTAGATCTTTCTGATCAAAAATAGTCACTGTCAGGAAAGGTATTGTATTTCTGGTACCCATCTAGAGACTGTACCCCTCTGGAGCAATTCTTGTACTACACGTGGACCCAGATGTCTCCAGGGCAGCATTACTCCTCTGTCGGGCTTGCTCCTCATCAGCATTACTGGAGTTTTATCCCAAGGTTGGATGATTGTCATCCTGGACAGCGTTTACTGTGTTGGCATATTTGCAGATTGAAGTGCCAGCAGGAATTTGCCCTGAGCAGTTCTCTAGGTCTCCCTTAGAGGAACTGACACAGAACACTTCAGTCATTTCCTCCATCAAGGTCAGCTATGAAAACACAGTCCTCTCAGCTATTTGATCTAATTAACAGTCACTGCTGCAGAGGCCCTGTCACTGGTTCTGACGACCCGGGGGGGGGGGGGGGTTGTTTCACTAGCCATCATTTGCATTAAATGTAATGCACCATGAATGCTGGTGCTAGGTCTGGCAACAAGCACATAGCACCAGCTGAAGGTCAGATTGGTGTGCCTGCATTCCTGGCACTTGTTGACCAGAGCATCTACTGAATGCCTTCTGTACCTGGACAGCTGGCAGGGCCAGCTGAGCCCTCTAGATGATACCAGTTACCCAGTGCAGCACCTGATTTCTACTTGTAATGCCATGTATCTTGCTCTCTTTTAGAACATGGCATTGTACCAGTTACCAGTGATTGCCAGTACCTCTTCCCTGCAAAGGTGGTCTCCCGCCTGGTGAAGTGGGTGACAATTGCCCATGAGGATTACATGGTAAGTGGAGGAGTGACAGGTCACCCTTGCTGTCCCAAAGACCCACATCACATTTCAGCTCCTGCCCTTCCACCAGAAGTGCAGGTGATTTGACTAGAGAATACAGGAGTTCTCTCCTCTGTGGTGACTTCTAGGAGCTGCATTTCACCAAGGACATTGTAGAGGCGGGACTGGCTGAGGACACTAATCTCTACTACATGGCACTTGTGGAAAGAGGCACAGGTAATTGCTCTTCTCATCACAGTGGTAGGCAAGGGTAGCTAGTAAGAATAAAACATTCCTGAGGGTTGCCCAAAGAAAGCAAAAGATCCTGGAATCCTGCTGGGGTGACTTAGCAAATAGTAATGATTGTAAGAGCTATCATTCAGTGAGGACTTGATCTGTAACACAGCCACATCCATGTTTTGTCTCATTTAATCCTCATGACAGTGCTGGAAGTAATAATGCAGGTATCCCCCATTTTCCTAAAGTTTGCATTCCACCACTTTGCTTTTACCAAAAAAAAAAACTACATTAATACCTGTTTTCATTAACCAAAAGAAAGGAGAATTTTGGGACACCTGGGTGGCTCAGCAGTTGAGCATCTGCCTTTGGCTCAGGGCCTGATCCTGGATTCCCCGGGATCCAGTCCCGCATTAGGCTCCTTCCATGGAGCCTGCTTCTCCCTCTGCCTATGTCTCTGTCTCTCTGTCTCTCTCTCTCTCTCTGTCTCTCATGAATAAATAAGTAAAATCTTTAAAATTTTTTTCACTTTTATCAAAGAAGTTATTACTGTATGAATGTAGGCTTTTATTAAATAAAGTGGCATTAATGCTCAGAATGTGGGGGATGCCTCTTGCTTTTTGCCCTTTTGGCTTATGAAAGGTTTCATAGGAATGCTCTACTTTGGATAATAGGAGAAACCTGTATTCCCATTTTATAGGTGACATTTAGGCTTAGTCACAAATGTAGTTTGACGTCTGAACCTGAGCTCTTAACCCTTTGCTTTATCGTTCTCTAAAAGCAGATACCTGTTCTCCTCTTCACAGAAGGGGTGACATGTCACTCTCAGGTTATGAAGTGCAGAGTGGCAGGACCTTCCTCTCTGTCTGGTGTTCCTGTACTCACTTTGCATCGAAAAGTGATGATTCATGATTCCTCACAGCTATCTTGGTGTCTAATTTGCCAAGGCTTCCTGTGGAGCCACCCAGGTGCTGCCTGTGGAGCTGTTTTCTGGCTCCTGCCTTGTAAGCCTGGGACTGCCCATAGGATCTGACCCTGAGGCTGGGTGCTCTGGCCACAGAGCTGAAGGAGTTGTCTGTGGTTCTAAGACAGTGTGAGAAATATAAGGAAAGGTTGCACTCTCTGATGTTAGAGTTTCTCTACCCTAATACCTTCCATTCTTTTTTGTGTGTTTTAAACATATTCTGAGGACATTAAATACTTTATAGATATAGCTGAAGTTCCCTTGTTTCTACTTCATTCTCTCCCTTATGATTGATGACTGCTATTTGGAATTTGTACATTTGCTTCCCATCCTTTTCCTTTCTAAAAATACTTTTATCTTGTCCCTAAATAACCTAGAGTACTGTTTTGAAAGGGCACAAAATATGTAGTCCAAGAAATTTATAAAGCTGCAAGTGGAAGTCGTCACTGGAAGATGTCACTATGCTTCCTAGTTGAGCAGATGAAAGCTTGTAAAGATAGTAAGTGTTCTAGACCCATCAGAATAAATGTGATAAATAAAGTTTTCATAAGATGCATTATAGAATTTGAAAATTCAAGAGTGAAATTTAAATGAATGAGTGGGCAGCAATTCCAAAAATATATATATATACATATATGTATGTATGTATGTATATATTAACAATCCTTAAGTCACTTTACAACAGATCAGTTTGAAAACTGATGGATTAAAAACAGAAAATTGGTGAATAGAGGTAAATCCAGAAATATATGCTGTTAGGACAGAAGCCACAACAAAGAAGGGACTTCTTATTTTTTATTATTTTATTTTATTTTTAAATGTTATTTTATTTAAATTCAGTTAATTAACATATAGCATATTATTAGTTTCAGAGATAACGTTCAGTGATTCATCAGTTGTATGTAACACCCAGGGCTCATTCCATCATGTGTTTTTTTTTTTTTTTAAAGATTTTATTTATTTATTCATGAGAGAGAGAGGCAGGCAGAGGGAGAAGCAGGCTCCATGCAGGCAGCCTGGCATGGAACTTGATCCCCAGTCTCCAGGATCACACCCTGGGCTGAAGGCGATGCTAAACCACTGAGCCACCAGGGCTGCCATTTGTGCTCATGTGTACTCCTTAATGCCCATTCCCCCACCCACCTTCCCTCCAGCAACCCTCAGTTTGTTTCTTTCTTTTTTTAAAAAATCTTTTATTTATTTATTCATGATAGTCACACACAGAGAGAGAGAGGCAGAGACACAGGCAGAGGGAGAAGCAGGCTCCATGCACCAGGAGCCCGATGTGGGATTAGATCCCAGGTCTCCAGGATCGCGCCCTGGGCCAAAGGCAGGCGCCAAACCGCTGCGCCACCCAGGGATCCCCTCAGTTTGTTTCTTATAGTTAAGAGTCTCTCTTACGGTTTGTCTCCCTCTCTGATTTCATCTTATTTTATTTTCTCCTTCCTTTCCCTATGATCCTCTATTTTGTTTCTTAAATTCCACATGAGTGAAATCATATGATAATTATCTTTTTCAGATTGACTTATTTCACTTACCATAATACCCTTTAGTTCATCTACATTGTTGCAAATGGTAAGGTTTCATTTTTTTTTATTGCTGAGTAATATCCCATTGTGTACATATACCACATCATCATTATCCATTCATCTTTCAGTGGAGATCTGGGCTCTTTCCATTGTTTGGCTGTTGTGGACATTGGGGTGTAGGTTCCCCCTTGGATCACTATTGTATCCTTTAGGTAGGACTCACTTTTTAATAAATGTAATTGAGACTATCAGAAAAGAATTCTCTTAACTTATACTCTCTTATCTTCTGTTGTTTGAATTAGTCGTGTGTCAACAGTTCTTCTTCCCCCATAAATAATGAAAAAGGAATGACATACTTAACCTGTTGGTAGAAAGGGTAAATGTCATCCTGTGGAGAAAGGCAAAGGCTGTCACCAGAGAAAAAATGAATATGCTATAAAATGCAACTATTTTCAGGGGCACCTGAGTGGCTTAATTTGGTTAAGGATCTGCCTTCAACTCAGGTCATGATCTCAGGGTCCTGGGATCGAACCCTGTGTTGGCCCCTGGCTCAGCAAAGAGTCTACTACTCCCTCTTCCTCTATTCCTCCCCACTGTTTGTGCTGTCTCTCTCCCTCTCTCAAATAAAAATAAAGTCTTGAAATATACATGAGGCGCCTGGGTGACTCAGATGGTTAAGCATCTGCCTTAGGCTTGGGTCATGATCCTGGGGTCGTGGGATCGAGCCCCACATCAGACTTCCTGCTCAGTGGGGGATCTGCTTCTCCCTCTCCTTCTAACCCTCCCCACTGCTCATGTTCTCTCATGCGCACACACTCTCTCTCTCTTTCTCTCTCAAGTGAATAAATTCCAAAAAAATAACTATTTTTTAATGAGTATGAACACAGCTTTGATATCAGACAGTTAAACTCAGCACTGCTGCTTTGCAACAGTTTGATCCTAAGGAAGTTTCTATCAGAGCTTCAGTTTCTTCAGATGTAAAATGGGGATGGTAATAACGGTACCCATCTCATAGAATCATTGCTAGGATGAAATAAAATGTGTGTAAAGAGTTTATTTAGCACAGTGCTTGGAATACAGTAATTACTCAATAAATGTTGGCTATTGGGATCCCTGGGTGGCGCAGCGGTTTAGCGCCTGCCTTTGGCCCAGGGCGCGATCCTGGAGACCCGTGATCGGATCCCACATCGGGCTCCCGGTGCATGGAGCCTGCTTCTCCCTCTGCCTATGTCTCTGCCTCTCTCTCTCTGTGACTATCATAAATAAATAAAAATTAAAAAAAAAAACTTTAAAAAAAATAAAAAATAAATGTTGGCTATTAAAAAGTTTCACATAACAAAATTCATAAGAAAAGGAATAGAGAGGGGATCCCTGGGTGGCGCAGCGCTTTGGCGCCTGCCTTTGGCCCAGGGCGCGATCCTGGAGACCTGGGATCGAGTCCCACGTCGGGCTCCCGGTGCATGGAGCCTGCTTATGTCTCTGCCTCTCTCTCTCTATCATAAATAAAAAAAAAAAAAAAAAAAAAGAAAAGGAATAGAGAAAATGTATATGATGTAACAGCTAATACATAATATTGTTGGAAAGAAAAACCAGATAGTAATTCTTCATGTGAAAAAAATCCTTAACTTGCCGGTAAAAAAAGCAATGCCAGTTAAAACAAACTTCTGTCGAAGGAGCAAATAGAACTCTTGGGCAGACCCTGTGTAGACCAGACTCCATTCTGGGGAGTCCAGACAAATCTTCATCCTTGGAGGGACCGGAGTTAACAGGACGTCACTTTCTGCAACTTGACAATTCTACTTTGGAGATTCTAGAATAAAAATAAAAGTCAGTTAGTACCAGAATGTGTTGTGCAGTACTTGAATTAATATAAGACAAAGAGTTAGGGCAGCCCAAGTGGCTCAGCAGTTTAAGACCACCTTCAGTCCAGGGCCTGATCCTGGAGACCCGGGATCAAGTCCCACGTCGGGCTCCCTGCTTAGAGCCTGCTTCTCCCTCTGCCTGTGTCTCTGCCTCTGTGTGTGTGTGTGTGTGTGTGTGATGCATAAATAAATAAAATCTTAAAAAAAAAAAAAAAAGACAAAGAGCTAGCCTCAGGGGTCCATTAGGGTTGATCTCTGGCTGGCAAACTCTGTCTCAACCGATTCTTCCTCATTCCTCCCTTCCCAGCCAAACTCCAGGCTGCTGTGGTGCTGAACCCTGGCTACTCCTCCATCCCACCCATTTTCCAGCTCTGTCTGAATTGGAAAGGGGAGAAAACCAATAGCAATGATGACAACATTCGGGTAAGGCCCTGCTGGGGTTGATGGGAGAAGCAGGGAGACTGTCCTTGGAAGGGGGAGGGCAGTGCCAGAACCTACTGGAGCTGAGAGCTTGGCCACTGGCATAATTCCAGGGACAGAGGGACCTGCCAGGATTTATAGAATTTGCTGGAGGGTGTGTGATATAGTAGAAGAGAAAGCCTAGACCCGTATTAACCACTTACCTAGCTTGGGGTCACCCCATCTTAAAATGGGGATAATATAAATCCTTGCCTTAAAAGATTGTTGTCTTGGGCTTCTGTGGAAATGTGAATAAACTCAGACACGTGGAAGTGCTGAAATGAAATGGTGTGTGAGATCCTAATGGCTTAATTATCATTATACCTGTTGATTTGATTCTATAGTGGTCTTCTGGCCATTGTTCATGTTTTTAATGCTAACACCTTCTGATTTAGCTCTTAAGATTCCTTCCCCTACACACCTCCATCTTCTTGGCTGTGCGAATGTTGGGCAGGGAAAGTTAGGGGTCAGAATCAGGAAGACCCTATTCTAAGGACAGGGAGCCTCAGGACAAACCCATCCAGTTTGATCTGGTGTGACCTAGCTCCTGCAGAGGCCTAGCTACAGTTTTTGTGGGGCTGTCAAACCCAACCAGTCTGACGGTAGTGCTGAATTTCTGGCTTTCCCACTTCTTAGGCCATGGAGAGTGAGGTCAACGTGTGCTATAAGGAGCTGTGCGGACCCCGGCCCAGCCATCAGCTCTTGACCAACCAGCTGCAGCGCCTATGTGTGCTGCTGGATGTCTACCTGGAGACTGAGAGCCACGATGACAGTGTGGAGGGGCCCAAGGAATTTCCCCAGGAGAAGATGTGTCTGCGGCTTTTCAGGTGAGATGAGGGTGGGAGCACTGGGGTTCTGGTGGTCTCCAGCCCTGCCTCTCACAGGGACTTGGGGAGAGATCAGAGCCTGGTGTGGAGGGTATGCTTGTTCTCAGGCGTACTTGTCTCTGTTCACGGGATAAATTAAAATTCTAGCCAGATTTTCAGGGAAGGGCTTGCTCCCTCTTTCCTGAAACTTTCCCTACAGCCTACTTCTACTGTCCTGGTTCAGTTGTTCTTCACAAGCACCCCTGAAGGTGGGCCACCCACTGAATGAGCAGTACCAGACCACGAACCAAGAGGATTTAGCTGAACTTCCTATGCTTTTTTTTTTTTTTTTTTTTTGGAAAACAACAGGGTTTGCTTTTTACTGTCCAAATAAGCTTTTAAAACTGCATAGAGCCCCACCAGGCCCAGTCTGCCATAGTCTTCCTAGGGTACAGCTTTAGGTAGTCGGGCATCATGGAAGGAACCAACTCTGAAGTGAGACAGACATAAGTGCAGATTGCTGCTTTGTTGCTCACCAGCTGTGTGACCTTGACAGAGTCACTTTGCACTGGACCTATTGCTGAAGGCTGACATGGAAATATACTGTCTGGCTCATGGTAGATATAGAGAATTATTAGATGTAATTCATATAAACTATGAGAATCATTCCTGGCACAGACGGGCTCACAGAATGCCATTAGGTCCTGACAGCTTGATGTTTGGTGTATCTGTGCTCATGGCACTTCTAGCTACTACTCTTTTCACTTTGGTCAGGTCCTTTCTCTCCTTTTCATCCCCTCATGTTCTTGTTCTTAAGGAGTCAGTTTCAAAACTCCAGAGTCCACACTGTTCAGACATGTCCTTCCCTTTTAAGCAAGCAGCTGGGAAGGAATGGTGTCTGGGAGAGGGGAAGGGCTATAATCTGTTTTTAATTAGGACATCCCCTCTTCCCTGTCAGTCTAAAGGTGCCTTACCTGCCCCTCACCTTCTTCTCAGATAGCCAGTCCCAGCCTCTGGAAGCTGTGCCAGCATCCTCCCACCTCCATCTGGCACTTCCACCTGGCCTGGTTCTTCATGTTATCTGATAATAACCAGTTCCAGCCCCCAAGTGGCTGCTGAGAGGCGGAGCTGGTGGCTAGATGTTGGTAGCTTCTAGGACTTGCTCTCCCTAGTGGGTCTATGTGAGAACTCACTTCTTCCCACCGTCCCAACCTGCTATAACACCTTTCCAGGATGGAAGCTGTCACACGGCCAGTGTTTATTTTTTGTTATCTAATCGGACCCCAAAGGATCCATTTCCTGAAGTGCTTTGTGTGTCACCCAGGCTGAGCTCCTCTGTCAGAGCATTCTGGGATGTGCTCCTTTGGCTACTCAGGCGCAATTAACTCCATGACTGCTGAGATGTGAGTTTGTAGGCCTGGAGTCCAGCTGACCACTGGTATCAGGCCAAGGGGCTGGGCTACAAAGTGCTAGCCTGGAAGCAGGAGACTGGAGGTCTGGTTCTGCGTATGGCTGGCTGCTTTCAGGCTGTGGGTTCTTCATTAGCCACAAGCCTAGACTTGCCCAGGTGATTCTGTGCCCTTCAGATGTTGGGAAGTATGTGTCATTGTGATTACAAATAAGGGCTTTGGGGCCAGAAAGACATGGGTTCAAATTGCAGCTCTTACCTGTGTGATGAGGGTTTACACTTAGCCCCCTGAGCTTCAGATTCCTCATTGGTAAAACAGTGTCCACCTCAGGCATTGTTGGGAGAATGAAATTAAATCAGATGTCTTGTATAAAGTGCTAAATATAATGCATGCAGAGTAAGCCCTCACTTAAGTAAGTGGTTGCATTGGTGTTGGAATTAAAACCTTCTTTGTCCTCATCTCTCCAATTATATACACATACCCCTCCTTCAGACCAAGATGTAGGGTGTCACCTTTCAAGTTACCACTGAATGTCAATCATAGGCAGACAAAAGAGGCCCTTTAGCTGGACATCATTCACTGTGGAGTTGTGTAGAAGAGGCCCCTGTGTGAAGTTCTGCCTGGCGGCCAGGATTATAGCTGAAGCACCTTAGCTTCATAAGGTTGACGTTTTGGCCATAATTGCTTGGTGTCAGATCTGGTTTTGAAGTTAGGCCTTGTACTTTCTGACCATAAAATATCTCAGGCAGTTTACCTCCCCGAGCCAATTTCTTCATCTGTAAAATCTATGAAGTGGTAGAAATAGTATCTAAGAGGTAGTAAGTATAAAGCACATAGTTCTTGGCAGGCACTTAGTGCAGATTCTTTTCACCTCTGCCTACATGGAAATTTCTCTGCAAAGGAGGACTTTAAGGTTTTTTTGCTCTATTATACTTATTATGGAAATAAAATAGAGATGCCTGGGTGGCTCAGTCAGTTAAGCATCTGCCTTTGGCTCAGGTCATGATGCTGGGGTCCTGGGATCAAGCCCCACATCAGGCTCCCTGCTCAGCAGGGAGTCTACTTCTCCCTCTGCCCCTTCTCCTGGCTTGTGTACATGCTTTCTCTCTCTCCCCCTCCCAAATAAATAAATATAAATATAAATATAAATAATATAAATATAAATAGACACACACACACACATATATATATAACCAAAAAAATGTGAGGGTTCCCAGAAGTGCCTGTTGTTAATGAGGGCCTTTCCAGGTTTGTGTTCATGCCTACATTTTCACCAAAACAGGATCACACCTTACATATTGTTTTATAGTCTGCTTTTCTCACAATGTCATTCCCCCTCACCCCTGCCACTCCAGCAGCTGCATAGTTTTTTCTCATGTAGATGAATTGTAATTTATTTTGTGAGCCCAAAGGGCATGGTATTAACTGATCTCCCTTCTCCTGTTTCTCTAGGGGTCCCAGCAGAATGAAGCCATTTAAATATAACCATCCTCAAGGATTCTTCAGCCATCGCTGACCTCCCACTTCGCCTGTTGTTGCTCTTTATGCCTGAAGTGCTGTGCCTCTACGTTCTGCTTTGGCCCACATGGAGCTCTTGATATTCTCCAAAGACAGTTTTTTATTTCTAGTCTATTAAAGTGTCACTTGACCAAGTGGCCTTTGTCTTGTGGCTCCTTGGGGAGGAGGGAGGTGGGTTTGCAGTCTGGAAGGGCAGTTGGGGGCCATAGTACGGTGTGAAAGAGCTTTTGTGCATAGGCTTTCTCTAGGTGGCCAAGAAGAGCAGAATGCAGAAGATTCTGATACTGTAGAAAGATGCTGCCCTCTTAACCCACTCATCTTACTTGTTCTTGCTTTGGGAGGGCCTCATTATTATGGTGTTTATTACCCTAAGTCCCTGCTGTTAGGAAGTAGCAGGGAAAGCCCAAGTGAGCCTAGCACAAAAAACAAAAGCTCTTCTTTCCCATCCCCTCACTCCCTCCACTAATTTTGTCAGTGCCTTCATTGGCCAGATTCTCTCTGATTATTGGATTTTATAAACATCTGACAGTACAGCGCAAAGAGAAGACAGATACAAGGAATAATTGTAAATATTGCAGGTTTTTGTGACATCAGTGAGAGTGGTGTTGGAGAATCACATGCAGAGCTACCATCCAGTGAGGCTCTCGCGCAGTGAAACCAGGAGACATGGTGAGGGTATGATAAGTGCCTGAAAAAAAATAACAGTTTGACTCTCAAAGAATTAAGAGAAGTCCTGGGGAAATAGATAAAACCCTCTAAAATGTTTGCAAAATGACGACCTTTATAATAATGCAAAAGTCAAAGTGAAGGATGGCATCAAGTGTTCTTAAGACAGGTTTGTCAGAAAAGTTACTCCCTATCCTTTCAAAAAGAAATCAGTGTTCAATTCGTTATTTGTTTAAGAAATAAGATATAGGGGATCTCTGGGTGGCTCAATGGTTTGGCGCCTGCCTTTGGCCCAGGGCGCAACCCTGGAGTCCTGGGATCGAGTTTCGTGTCGGGCTCCTGGCATGGAGCCTGCTTCTCCCTCTGCCTGTGTCTCTGCCTCTCTCTCTCTCTCTCTCTCTCTCTCTCTCTGTCTCTAATAAATAAAATCTTAAAAAAAAAAAATTACATACTGGGGGCACCTGGCTAGCTCAGTCAGAAGAGCATGCAACTCTTGATCTCAGGGTCATGAGTTTGAGCCCCACGTTGGGTATAGAAATTACTAAAACAAAAAACTTAAAAAAAAATTATTACATACTTGCATATATAAACAACTACAAGATGAAAATCTGCTCTTGTAGCAACTTCTAATATACATAAAGTTTATTTTTTGTGACAGTCCCAATCAAGTGGCTTTTTTTCTCCCACAGCATACTTTGAACCTTATTCCCCATCATGCATGTATTCATTCTCAGTGGACTTTTATTATCTTTGGATAACATGGGCCTCTGCTATGAAAGCTGTTTCCAGGGATCCCTGAGTGGCTCAGTGTTTTAGTGCCTGCCTTTGGCCCAGGGCGTGATCTTGGAGTCAGGATCGAGTCCCGCATCGGGCTCCCTGCATGGAGCCTGCGTCTCCCTCTGCCTGTGTCTTCGCCTCTCTCTCTCTCTCTCTCTCTCTCTCTCTCTCTCTCTCTCTCTCTCTCTCTCTCTCCTGCGTCTCCCTCTGCCTGTGTCTTCACCTCTCTCTCTCTCTCTCTCTCTCTCTCTCTCATGAATAAATAAATACAATCTTAAAAAAAAAAAAAACACTTTCTTCCTGTTCTCTCAGCTGATCACTGAACATCCCAGTGATAAGGATTTCCTGAGAAAGAACTAGGAGACTTCTGGCATTACCAGGGCCCTTCGTTTTACAGATGGAAGCCTGAGCCCTTGAGGAAAGGAGAATGTTACCTTTGGTGGCCGTTTAAATGACTGCCACCACTTGTGCATCTCCTCCTCAGCCTACATCATTCCTTTGAATTCAGAGGTAAATACTCTCTTGCCCTGCGATCCTTAAACTTCAATGTGTGTGAATCCCCCATCCTAGGAGGGGGTTAGAAACAAAGATTTCCATGCCTCACTCTAATATTTGGACTCCATTGACCTAAGATAGGCCCAGGAAGTATATTTTTAACGAGCTCCCCAGGTGCATGTTGCCCTAGTCTCTTTTTGGAAATGGCTGTACTTTCTTCCCTTTCCTCATTTTTCTGGGTAACTCCTCATGTAATGCAGGGCTTGATTCTCTGCAGGCAGCTCCCCATCTTCTGTCTTTGGTATGTTGGGCAGCAGTGTAAACCTCCGTGTGCTTCTTTCCACATAGCATAATCTCCTTGTCTTTTCCCTGACCTACTTGCCTGGACTCTGTCCCTGCCAGCTTCCCCTTGGTCTGGCCACCTTCAGGCCCTGCGTCTCACCGCCTGTGCTGAATAAGATTGAAATGGGACCTAAAAATAGTTGCTTTAACGGCCCCTGCATTGCAGTCTCCACTGTTCTTGGCTGGAAGGCAGCCAAACTGACTCAGCACAAAAGCTTGTCTCCGATAGCTGGGACAAGGTTGCAAAGACAGCTTGTGAGCACTGGGGAAGGCTCTGCTTCTTAGGGAATGTCAGAGCCTGTCACCCTCCAGAAGAGATTTTCCATCCTCAGAGGGAAGCTGGCTGAACAAAATCCTTTGGCTGTAAGAAGTATTTTCAAACTTGTGAGAAGCCCAGGACAGTCCAGCTCCTTTGAGCTACTTAAAAGCTATTTGTGCCTCCAGTCAGCAGATTAGGAGAAAGGCCTGGCATAGGACTGTGAAGCTTCCTCATCAACCAGAATTGTCCTTGGCCTTCCTTGGGGCACATCCCTGAGAGTAATCCCTCTCTGTCATCCTCCCACACCTGGGGCTCAACCTATGTTTCTTAACTTTTCCTTTATTTATTTTTAATTTAATTTAATTTTAAAGTAATCTCTATGCCCAACATGGGGATCGAACTCACCACCCTGAGCTCGAGTTGTATGCTCTACTGACTGAACCAGCCAGGTGCCCCTCCTTGCCTTTTTATTTTTTCATTTTATTTTTTAAGATTATATTTATTTATTTGAGAGTGAATGAGAGAGAGCATGAGCAAGGGGAGGGGGAGAGGGAAAAGCAGACTCCCTGCTGAGCAGGGAGCCCCATGTGTGGCTCAATCCCAGGACCCTGGGATCATGACCTGAGAGATGCTTAACCAGGTGGGCCTGTGCACACCATAGGCTTTCTTGAGCTGCATACCCACGGTGAGCTCGCAGCAGGCCAGTCTGTCAGCAAGACATTGCTTTTTATAAGAGTTGCTGCAGACCCAGCATAGTTTCAGGCTGGTACTCTTGCTGGGCTATTTGTTCATTTCAGCAACACAATTACACCAAGAACACTGGTGGTCAAGAGTTACAGCTTAGTGTAGGCTGACCTGTCAGGTTCTTGTTCCACCCGTAAGCAACTGTGTGACCTTGGGCAGGTTGCTTGACTCACTCTAAACTTTGGGGATCCCCACCTACAACTGGGAGTGGCTGTAGGGGTTAAATACCAATTCACAGCACCATGCCCCAAACCCATCACTGCTCAGCAAAGGGGAGGATTTTTTTTTTTTAAGATTTTATTTATTTATTCATGAGAGACACAGAGAGAGAGAGGCAGAGGGAGAAGCAGCCTCCCTGCAGGGAGCCCAATGTGGGACTTGATCCTAGGATTCCAGGATCATGCCCTGAGCCAAAGGCCCACCAGAGGGTTACCTCAACTTCTTGGGCTCTTGACACAGCCTCTTCTAACTTGGTTTTCTCACTACCTCCACAGATGACCTAAACTGAGAAACTCCAACCCTACCCACTGGGGCTGGTGGAAGACCCTCAGAGTACATTTGTGTAATGAGTGAATAGATGGGGACATCCCAAAATATTTTAAAGATGTACCCAATCTAACAAGTTGAGATGCAAAGTCCTACAGGAAGGACCTAAAAACTAATCACTCACCTATGTGCTGGGATACAGCAGCTTGAGTGAAAATATGTGGTAGTTTTAAAACGTGAACAAATGGTTTAAAATGCCTGATGGGATATCTGCCCTTTCAATGCAGAGAACTGGAAGACACTTTGAAATGATACTACTTCTTTTCTTATTTCATTGAGTCAAATTTTACAGGATGAGTACAATATTTATTTCCTATTGTATACAGAATAACCACTTATGGACTGAGTGGTTTGTATTCATATATATTTATTTGTTTTCTTACTAAAATAAGATCATAGTATATAAAATTCTTAATGTGATATTTAGAATAATTCATTCACAGGATTCAGAAACCAGAAAGCATAAGAAGTGAAAGTACAGTGAAAGCTTCTACTGTCAACCTTATCCCCCGCCTGCCTAGTTCCCATCTCTCTTACAATTAAACAACAAAGTTGATTACTTTCTTTTGTATCCTTTCAAATTCTTTAAGCAAATTATTTTTCCGTTTTTGTGCAAAAAGCCATACTACGTACATTTGTTTTGATACTTGATTTTTTTCAGATCTTAGACATCATTCCATATCAGTGCAGGGATATGAAGAGCTTCCTCATTCTTTATAGCAGCATAGTATTCCATTCAATGGATGTACCATATTTTAGTAGTTTCTTAATATTTTTTTAAAGATTTTCTTGGGATGCCTGGATGGCTCAGCGGTTGAGCATCTGCCTTCGGCTCAGGTCCTGATCCCGGGATCCAGGATCAAGTCCTGCATCAGGCTCCTTGGAGGGAGCCTGCTTCTCCTTCTGCTTATGTCTCTGCCTCTCTCTGTGTGTCTCTCATGAATAAACAAATAAAATCTTTAAAAATAAATAAAGATTTTCTTTATTTATTTGACAGAGAATACAAGCAGGGGAGCAGCAGAGGGAGAGGGAGAAGCAGGCTCCTTGCTGAACAGGGAGCCCGATGTGGGTCTCTATCCCAGGACCCTGAGATCATGACCTGAGCCAAAGGCAGACACTTAACTGAGTCACCCAGGTACCCTATTTTATTAGTTTTAATAGATATTTGGTTATCCATTTTTGCACATGGTCATTTCATATGTATGTCAATACATCTGTAGGTTAAGTTTTCAAAAGTAGAAATATTGGAGTAAAGGATATATATCATCATAGTTTTGAAAGATACTTCCAAATTCTCCTCCATGAAGGTTGTATCAGCTTGTGTTCCTACCAGCAATGTATGAACTAGTTTCTCCACAGCTTCATCAAAATATTATCAAATTTTCACTTTTACAAAAACTAAAAAATTGTATTTTGATATATATATATTTTAAGATTTTATTTATTTATGAGAGATACAGAGAGAGGCAAAGACACAAGCAGAGGGAGAAGCAGGCTCCCTACGGGGAACCCAATGCAGGACTTGATTCCAGGACCCTGGGATCACGCCCTGAGCCAAAGGCAGACTCTCAACCACTGAGCCACCCAGGCATCCATATATATATGTTTTTTTTTTTAACAGAATTATTGACTTGGGTAACTAAGAAGTTCACTGGATGACTGCAGGCACAGCTCAATTCAGCAGTTTAAATGGTGTCATCAGGACTTAAACACTGGCAGTAATTCCAAGGTGCTTTCTTTGCTGTTTATCCTCAGGGTAGCCTTTGACAGCTTCTCTGCACCAGTATCTTCTACCACAGTATTGGAATTGGCTTTCATTGGATAGACTTACATTACTCAATCAATGAACTAATCTCAGAGGCCAGAGGACAGTATATGATGGGCCATGCCTGACATGCATACATCTGGTCTAGGTACAATGGGCACCCAAACCCCATGGCCTATATTAGGTTTCTGTGGGTGGTGTAACAATTTGCTACAAACTCGGTGGTGTGAAACAACACAAATTGATTCTCCTAACTATTCTGGAGGCCAGAAGTCTGAAATTAATTTTACTGGGCTAAAGTCAAGATTTTGGTAGGGCTCATTCCTTCTGGAAGCTCAAGAACAGAATATTTCTTTGCTCTTTCCACTTCTACAGTTGGCTTGTGGTTCATTCTTCCATCTTGAAAGTGCATCACTTCAACCTCTGCTTCTATCGTCACATCACTTCCTCCTCCAACTGTGAAACCTGCTCCCTCTAGGAAGGAGACGTGATGACAATGGGCCCATCTGGATAACCCAGAATAATCTCCTATCTCAAAATTCTTAACTTAATCACATCTACAAAGTCCCTTATGCCATATATGGTAACATTCACAGATTCTAGGGATTAGAACATGGACATCTTTGGAGGACCATTATTCACCCTATTATGTGGCCTGTGAGTGGGGAGATGTGGTGTCTCTTTTCATCAGAAAGAGAGAATAGAGGCTGGAGAGGCAAAAACAGATGGACACCCACTAGGATGGAACATACAACAAGTTTTATAAAGCAACCATTTGTATTTTACTCTTTAATATTTGTTTTCCCAGTAGACTGCGTGCTCCAGAAAAGGCACAAACACACTTCTGTTTTGCTCACTTCTATATCCCCTGGGCTTTGCACAAGGTTGGTGCACAAAAGGAGATCAATAAATATTTCCTGAATGAATTAATACATGAAATTTAGAAACTGTTAGGAGAAGATTAAAGTGAAATGTTAAATTTAATAAGTAAAAGATTTAGGACAGTGAGAAAGGCAGAAAGCTATTTTTATAATCATTAAAGCACTCTATAAAGCTGACATTTATATATAATTGTTAAAGAATCTTCAGGCTTTATCAAAAACCAAGTAGCAAAAAAACACCTTCGCCATATCTCCCTCATGGTTGGTATTACAATCTTCAGGACAGGGGCACCTCGGTGGCTTAGTGAATGAATGTCTGGCCTTGGCTCAGATCATGATAATAAATAAAATAAAATATTTTTTAAAAAAAAAACTTCAGAATAGACTATTCCTGGAAAGAAGCCAATCACAAAAGGTCACATATTGTATGATTCCACTTATATGAAATGTCCAGAATACATAAATCCATAGAGACAGAAACCAGAGTAGTGGTTATCAGGAGCAGGGGTAGAAGGAATGGGAAAGACTGCTTAATGGGTAAGGTGTATCCTTCTGGAACTAGATCGTGGTAATGATTATACAACATTATGAAAGTACTAAATATCACCAGTGGTGAATTTTCTGTATATTTTGCCACAATTTTTGTCTATTGTGGTGAAATTCACACGACATAAAATTAACCATTTTAAAACGAATCATTCAGTGATTGATTACTTTCCTTATGTTGAAACAGGATAAATCTTACTTGATCATGGTGTATAATCTTGTTAATACATTGTCGGATTGGCTTTGCCTAGTATTTTGTTGAGGCTTTTTGCATCTGTATTCATAGGGATATTATTCTGTGGTTTAGTTGTGGTTCTTTGTCTGGCTTTGGTATTTGGGTAATACAGGCCTCTGAGAATGAGTTAGGAAGTGTTCCCTTCTTTTTTTAAATTATTATTTGAGAAGAACTGGTGTTAATTCTTATCTAAATGCTTGGTAGAATTCACTGGTGAAGCCATCTAGGCCTGAATTTTTCTTTATGGGTAGTTTTGAGATTACTAATTTAATCTCTATTTGTGGTAGATCTATTCAGATTTTCTTTTTTTTTTTTTTCTTGAGTCAGTTCCAGTAGTTTGTTCTTTTTAGGAATTTGCCTAAATTTAATCTAAATTATCTAATTATTAGGCATGCAGTTGTTCACAGTATTCCCTTATAATCCTTTTTATTTCTCTAAGTTTAGTATTTATGTCCTCTCTTTCATTCCTGACTTTAGCAATTTGAGTGCTCTTTTTTCTTCATTAGTCCAGCTAAAGTTTTGTCACTTTGGTGGATCTTTCAAAGAATCAACTTTTAGTTTCAGTGATTTTTCTTTTATTTTTTGTTATTAAGTTCTACTCTAATCCTGCTTTGAGTTTAATTATTATTAATCATTAATCTTAAAGTAGAAAATTAGATTATCAATTCGAAAACTTTTTTCCTTTAAAATGTAGACATTTTATACTATAAATTTTCCTCTAAGCATTGCATTAGCTGCATCTCATAAGTTTCCATATGTTGTGTCTTTATTTGCATTCATCTCAAATTATTTTCTAATTTTCCTCATGGTTTCTTCTTTGATATTTTAGTTATTTAGAAGTGTGTTGTTTAAGCTCCATGTATTTGTGAATTTTCCAAATTTCTTTGGTATTTCTAATGTTATTCCATTGTGATCAGAGAACAGACTTTGTCCTATTTCAGTCTTTTTAAATTTGCTGAGGCTTTTTTTGGCTTAATATATGGTCTGTCCTGGAGAACATTCCATGTGCACTTGCATGGAGTTTCTTTAGATGTCTGCTAGGTCCCATTGATGTAAATTATTTTTTAAATTAAATAAACAATTTTAATGCAGTCAGTAAGTCATCTTTCCCATTACCCCCAAGAATCTCATCTCTTTCTCCTGCTGTAGGCATAGATGACTTTACTCCATTCTGTCTTCTCTGGACCCATGATAGAATTCCAGAATTTTTGGCAGGTTTTGTAGTTTAAGAAGTAAGTGGAGTACCTCTCCCTGTGATAGTTATTTTCATCCCTATCTCTGGTAGAAACATCAGATTCCAACAAGCAAGGATTTGTGTCATGTTCTCTCAGCCTCCATGCTACCTTGGGCATCCTAACAGTTTTCTTACTCAGGTAGCTGCTTTGCCAGAACCCAGGCAATTTCCAGCTCCAAATACCTAAATTATTTTTTAACATTAATAACTAGTTTTCTGGGGCACCTGGGTGGCTCAGTCAGTTAAGCATCTGCCTTCAGCTCCTGTCATGATCCCGGAGTCCCAGGATGGAGCCCAACATTGGGCTCCTGCTCAGTGGGGAGTCTGCTTCTTTCTCTGCTGCTCTCCCTGTTTGTGATTTTTCCCTCTCTCTTTCTACCAAATAAATACATTTTAAAAATTAAAATTAGTTTTCTTTTTTGTTGCAAAATGTATACTAACTTATGTAACTTAATTTATTTAGCCATTCTCCTATTATTGTATATTCAGGGTATTTTCCAAAATAGAAACAAAACTTAAGTGAATATATTTTGTATTTGAATATTTCTGTATAGACCTGATTATTAATTTAGGATACATTCCCCAAAGTGGCACACTTTGGTTACAGTATCTCAGCTTTTAAGCTTCTGATATATCTCATTAGATTACCTTCCAAGAAGGTTTTGTCCATTTTCACTCCAACCATTAGTTCCAGAAAATTCAGGTTTCTCTGCATACCCACTGACACTGGGTATTATTGCTTTTTTGGATCTTCTGCTCCATGCATTGTGGACATTTATCATTGTTACTGCCCTAGCATCCATTCTCTGATAACAGTACCTCTCATATCCTTTGGGAACCACACCTCCCAAACTCTCAATTTCAGTTTAAGGGGCCTGATATATTTCCCCACCTCCAGGCATGGGCAAATGACCACAGCCTAGCTCATTAGTGTCCTGTGCATACCCAGAAAAGAGCATGTGACCTTACCAGCCCAATGAGAACCAACCCCTGGACTTTTCCTGAAATATTGAAGAAGAATTCTCTTCCCCCTTTAGTTTACTCAACTGTTGTTATGTAACCTTGAAGCTGGAGACCATGTGGAGAGGTCCTGCCTGAGAATGAAGCCTACACAAAAGAAAATAGACAAGAACTGGAGAAAGAGTGGTAGCATCTTGGGGAACATCATTTGAGAATTCCCCCCGGACCTAGCTTTATCTGAAGCAAGTCAACCTTCTTGAACTCCTTGGTTATATAAGCTGACATATTGATCATTATTAATTATCAGTAATGATAGTATTTTGCTTAAACTAGTTTGTTTTGACTACTTGCAGCATAAATAATGCTGATAAATATGGAAACCTCCAGTGCATCCCCTCAGGAACTATTGGTCAAAATTCTCTGGAACATTGCTGTGGAGTTATCAGTGCTGCAAATAAAAGGTCCTTTTCTCTCTCTAGCACTTAGTAGGATTGCTCCGCCCATCTCTGATTTTAGATATAACTGTGTGGATTGCTTTGGCCAGTGAAATGTTGCCGAAATAGACCTGTATCACTTCTATATAGGACGTTTAAGAGCCTGTGCAGTTTGTGCCACATTCTCTCTCCCCTGCCTCAGTGAACTTGGAAGCCTGGGTCTAGATGGATTACCTATTAGCTTGGTTCTTTTTTTTTTTTTTTTAAGATTTTATTTATTTGTCAGAGAGTGCGCACACAGGCATGGAGAGGGGCAGGCAGAGGGAGAGAGAGAAGCAGACTCCCCACATGAGCAGGAAGCCTGATGTGGGCTCAATCCTAGGACCCTGGGATCATGACCTGAGCTGAAGGCAGATGCCTAACTGACTGAGCCCCCCAGGCTCCCCTATTAGCCTGGTTCTTGAGTGACTACTATGAACAGGGACCCCTGCCAATCCACATTGGTTGTGTAGCATGAGTGAGAAAGATGCTCTCTTTGGATTAAGCTACGGAGATGTAGTTGTTCATTATCACAGACAGAGCCTAACCTAGCCTTTCTGAAACCATTCCCCTGGGGAAAAAATGAAGGATGTTTGTTTGTCATCAGTCCAGCTATGTTTGTGGAGCCAACAGCTAGTCAGCAGGAAGGGCATATCCACATCAATCAGCTCCTTTTCATGTATCCTCTGTATCCCCCCAGGCCCTTGACATCTGACAAGCAATTTCTTAGCAAATTGACTCTATAGTTTTTTCCTAAAGTTTGTTATCCTTCCAGAGGAAGAACTGTTTTTTTTGGCAGATGGTTAAAGTTAGTCCTAGTTGGTATCTGGCCAGCTAATCCCACCTACAGCACTGGGAGCATGAGCACTTAGGGCAAAAGAGGAGGAATGGCCAGGTCAGATCCCTCTGCCCTGCCTGTTCCACGTGGGAAGACTATGAGAATGATATCACTGAAGAAGTCTGGAGCTTCTGGCATTCCAAATACCTACAGCATCTGTTTTGAGGTGGCCATGTAATATGTCAGGAGGCAGAATGGCAAAGAAAGGAAGAGCCTGAGCTCAATTTTTAAAAAGATTTTATTTATTTATTCATGAGAGACACACAGAGAGAGGCAGAGACACAGACAGAGGGAGGAGCAGGCCCTCCAATTCTGGGCCTGGGATCACACCCTGAGCCAAAGGCAGACCCTCAACCACTGAGCTACCCAGGTGTTCCAGACAGGCTCAAATTTAAATCCAGCCTCCATGTCTTCCTGGCTCTGGGACTTTGGGCAAAGTCACTTCTCTCAGCCTCAGTTTTCTCAACTGAAAAATGCAGGTTCAAGAGTGCTCACTTCATCAGGCTGTTATTAGATTGGGGTTATAGAATATGTAGCCCAGCACCCAGTTCTTGGAAAGTGCTCAATACGTGGTGATTATGATGGTACCAAAACTGGTGACCTGGATTCTAATCTAGACAAGTCCCTTCTTGTTTCCTGTGAACATTGGCCGAGTCAATGATTTGTAAGAACCTTGTATTTCTAATGCCTATTATGTTTTCCTTGTGATTTCAAAACGAAGTATAAATTTTCTAAATAAGAGTCACCGAGGGCAATTTTTAAAAAATTAGACTCTTTAAAAAATTAATATCCAGGCAACTCATATTTTCTCTATAGACTAGGAAAGCAAAACTCTGCTACCAACTTGGCCTTAGGCAGGCTCCTGCCCTGCTAGCCTGTTTCCTCATCTATATAATCAAGAGATTGGGCTAGAAGCTGTTTGGGGCCCTGTTGGCTTTGACTGGTTGCAATCTGCTTATAATGGTGCAGACAGGGCTTTGCCTCTCCCTGACCCTCATCTACTTTATCTTCAACTCTAGGTTTTAGGTTCTGACATCTGGTATTTACCTTTATGTTTTTAGTCCAACGCAATTTCTTGATATATCAATTTTTAAAAGATGTTATTTATTTGAGGGGCACCTGGGTGGCTCAGTGATTGAGTGTCTGCCTTTGGCTCAGGTTGTGATCCTGGCATCCTGGGATCCCAGCATCCTGGGATTGAGTCCCACATCAGGCTCCCAGTAGGGACCCTGCTTCTCCCTCTGCCCATGTCTGTCTCTGCCTCTTACTCTGTGTCTCTCCTGAATAAATATTTTTTAAATATTTTATTTATTTGAGAGAGAGAGAAAGCACAAACAGTGGGAGGAGCAGAGGGAGAGGGATACAATCTCCAGCAGACTCCATGCTGAATGCAGAGTCCAAAGCAGGCTCAATCCCAGGACCCTGTGATCATGTATGACCTGAGCTGAAACATGCTTAAACTGACTTAGCCACCCAGGCACCCCATGGATATATCAATTTTTTAAAGACTTTATTTTGAAGTAATTTTATTATTTCTTTAAGATTTTATTTTTAAGTGATGTCTCTACCCAACAAGGGCCTTGAACTCACAACCCCAAGATCAAGTGTTGCATGCTCCACTGACTGAGCCAGCCAGGTGCACCCCCCTCCTTTATTTAAGATTTTATATTTAGAAGTAATTTTAAATTTACTGAGAAGTTGCAATGACAGCATAGTGAATTCCTAAATACCCTCACCCAATTCCTTGTAATATTCACATCTGCATGATCATGGTACATTTGTCAGAATGAAGACATTAATATAGGTACATTACTCTTAATTGAATGACTGCATTTGGAGTTCATCGCTTTTTCCACTAATGTTCCAGGATCCAATGCAAGGTGCCACATTGCACTGAGTCTCTTTAGTCTTAGTCTCCTCTAGTCTGAGGAGTCTCAGGGGTTTCTCAGTCTTTTATCAATTTTAAGCATTTTCTCCAGGCTGGTATGAGAAATAAGTGTTTTTGACCAATTATACACTCCATTTTCCCTTTCCCCATCTTTCCCTCATATTTATCTTAAGTTTTGGTATAATCTGTATTCAATGCTTTGTTTATTATTAAGATTTATTTGAAAGAGAAAAGAGCGGAGGCACGGAAAGAGTCCCAAGCAGAATTGGTTTCTAACATAGTTACTATTCCCCCTCAGTCACTACATTGTTCAGAATTCTTCGGGTTGCATATGACAGAGCCATACCCTAAATGAGCTTTGGCAAAACTTTATCAGCTCAAAGAATGGCCAATTAATCCATGGAAAGGATCATCAGAACCAAGTACCTGAAATCTACAATGACTCCCTAGGTATCTTGTCTCTGTTGATCTCTCTCCCTTTCTCACAGACTAACTTTTCCCCAAGGCTGGGAAAATGGTGGCCTAGATTCCCTTGTCCACCTACCTCTCACGAGAACACTGCCAGCCAATCTGGTCCCAAGTTTGAAATCTCAGCAAGGGTTCTCATTGGCTCACCTGGGGTCAGGTGGCCATTCTTGGACCAATTACTAGTGACCAGTGGTATAGGGCAATTAGAAAACATGGGGTCTCTGAGAACCACCTGGTTGGGCCAGGGAAAGAAGCAATTCCCAGGAAAGGTGCCAAAAGCAAACAAAAAGTTAGAAACCACACAAGAATTTTACAGTAAAGACCCTACATAAATCCACAAGAACAACACAGCTTTCATATAGTGTCTGGAGAAGTTATATTGGAGTCCACTTACATAACTACTAACAGATTGTTCCCAATGGTGGTAACTATAGTCTTCACTACAGGTACATAAGCAACATATGGCCCCTGGTTCAAAAGGGTCATTCCTCCTCACAAAAGAAGACAAGTAGAACTCTATAAATAGACTAATATCCATAGGACCTCACCTGTTCTCAGGCTTCAATGTGCATCAGAATCAAGTGGGAGTTGGTAAAGCATGTACTTTCCCAGGCCTTCCTCCTCAGGTTTTTTTTTTTAAGTTTTTTTTTTAAGATTTTATTTATTCATTCATGAGAGACACATACAGAGAGAGAGAGAGAGAGAGAGAGAGAGAGAGAGAGAGAGGCAGAGGGAGAAGCAGGCTCCATGCAGGGAGCCCAACGTGGGACTCGATCCCAGGACTCCAGGATCACATCCTGGGCCCAAGGCAGGCACGAAACCGTTGAGCCACCTAGGGATCCCCATCCCCTCAGGTTGATTCAATGATCCAGCATGGAATCAAAGAATCTGCACTTCTCTATGTCTCCCAGATGATGCTAATATAGGTGATCCATGGACCATGCTGAGAAACCAAGCACCAGGCCACCTACCTGCAAAGTCATAAAAATAAAGCACCTAGCACATTGCCTGGCACATGGTTTGTGTCCAGGAAATAACCCAAGAAAGGCCACGTTAACTCTGAGACCTCTGATGCTCACTCAGTCCTCCGCTCTTGAGTGTCCCATCTAGATTTCCCCTGACCCTGTCCCCCAGCCTGCCTAGGAAAAGAGAATAAATAACAGCAGAAACATTTTCATTTTATAAGCACTTGGTTTTATTGCACAGAAGCAATTGAAAGTGGACTCCAGTGGAAAAGTGCGCCCTGGCATGATTCAGTGGCCAGTGCCCAGCCCCACCTGCTCCAGCTCTTCCAGGATAGAGAGCTCTGGGCAAGGGCTCGGCCACTCCTTTGGAAAACAGAAGGCATTCAGGAATAGGTTAAGACATCTCAAGCATAATGTGTTTCTAACTGCTCATTCATTATTGTGATCATCTGTCAATTGCACATACAGGTAATAAATGCACTTATTTAGAAAGGAGGGGGTCAGTTTTTATAGTCAAGTGTTTACATGTGGCATTCGGCATATATCACATTCGGCTACGTAAGCTATCATAACATAATTGTCCATCGCCTGGGGAGGGTTTGGGATGTAGGGCCAGGGGACTGGGAATACCCTCTCTTGCTAACATATTGCTAATAGAAATTCCTGTTTGGTGAAGGAGGGCCCCATCATCTAAGCAGAGTTTCTTTTTATATAAAGAAAAGGGAGAAAAAAATGAAAATTTGTTATGTCGACCCTTGAGCTCCTGGGCCCTCCTGAGTATCTTTGGCTGTTCTGGATAGTCCTTTCTCCCTGCCTTACTTCTCCCCCTTGGAGGCCTTGTCTTCTGTGGCCTTCTCTGCAGGCCTGCTGTCTTTTTGGTCTGTGCTAGAGGATTTCTCAGCCTTTTCTGTCTTGGCTTTGCCAGGTGTGGGGGCCTCCTTGCTGGGCTCTTCTTTGGCTGGGGCCTCTGCTTTGGGTTTCTCCTCAGATTTCTTGGCCTCTGGGGTCTTCTCCTTGACATCTTTTTTCTCGGGTGCTGCAGGTGTCCCTTCCTTCTTTGGCTTTTCTGGCTCCTTTTCTGCTGCTTTGCTGGGTTCTTTGGCCTTGGCATCATCTTGCTCCTTCTTGGCCACCTCAGCCTTCTCTTTGGGTTTGGCTTCTTCCTTCACCTTCGCAGGAACCTCCTTCTCTGGGGTCACTGCTTTTTTCTTATCTTCAGTCTCTTTCTTGGCTTCAATTTTGGATTCTTTGGGTTTCTCCACAGCAGGCTCCTTCTTTTCCTGGACCTCAGGCTTTGGAGCCTCCTTCTTTGGCACCTCATCTTTCTTGCTGTCCTTCTTCTCCTCAGTTTTTGGTGTGGCTGGAGCTTTCTTTTCCTCTGCCTTCTTTGCGGGCTCTTTGACTTTCACTTCCTGGGGTTTCTCTTCCTCCTTTATGGGGGACTTTGCCTCTTCCTTCTTTGTGACCTCTTTCTCAGGAGCCTTGGTCTCTTCTTTCACAGGAGATTTGACCTTCTCTGGGGACTTGGCCTTCTCAGGGGACTTGGCCTCTTCCTTCACTGGGGACTTGGCCTTCTCAGGGGACTTGGCCTTCTCTGGGGACTTGGCCTCCTCCTTCACCGGGGACTTGGCCTTCTCTGGGGACTTGGCCTCCTCCTTCACTGGGGACTTGGCCTTCTCAGGGGACTTGGCCTCCTCCTTCACTGGGGACTTGGCCTTCTCAGGGGACTTGGCCTCCTCCTTCACTGGAGACTTGGTCTTCTCAGGGGACTTGGCCTTTTCAGGGGACTTGGCCTCCTCCTTCACTGGGGACTTGGGCTTCTCTGGGGACTTGGCCTCCTCCTTCACTGGGGATTTGGCCTTCTCAGGGGACTTGGCCTCCTCCTTCACTGGAGACTTGGCCTTCTCTGGGGATTTGGCTTCCTCCTTCACCGGGGACTTGGCCTTCTCAGGGGACTTGGCCTCCTCCTTCACTGGAGACTTGGCCTTCTCAGGGGACTTGGCCTCCTCCTTCACTGGAGACTTGGCCTTCTCGGGGGACTTGGCTTCCTCTTTCACTGGGGACTTGGCCTCCTCCTTCACTGGGGACTTGGTCTTCTCGGGGGACTTGGCCTCCTCCTTCACTGGGGACTTGGCCTTCTCTGGGGACTTGGCCTCCTCCTTCACTGGGGACTTGGCCTTCTCTGGGGACTTGGCCTCCTCCTTCACTGGGGACTTGGCCTTCTCAGGGGACTTGGCCTCTTCCTTTACCGGAGACTTGGCCTTTTCAGGGGACTTGGCCTCCACAGGGGACTTTGCTTCTTCCTTAGCTGGGGACTTGGCCTTCTCTGGGGATTTCACCTCCGTTGGAGATTTTGCTTCTTCTTTCATGGGGGATTTAGCTTTCTCAGGGGACTTCACCTCAGCTGGAGACTTGGCCTCTTCCTTCACTGGGGACTTGGCCTCAGCTGGTGATTTTGCTTCTTCTTTCATGGGGGACTTAGCCTTTTCTGGGGACTTGGCCTCTTCCTTCACTGGGGACTTGGCCTCAGCTGGGGACTTAGCTTCTTCCTTCACTGGGGACTTGGCCTCTTCCTTCTCTGGAGATGCAGCCTCTTCTGCTGGGGGAGACTTTGTTTCTTCTTCTCCCTCTTCTGCTTCCTCTTCCTCACCTTTCTCCTCTTTGGCCTCTTTCTCTTCTTCTTCAGTCACTTCTTCAGTCACTTGGATCTCCTCTGTCTGTTCCTCCAAAATCACGGTTTCCTTCTCTGACTTTTCTACCACTTTGATCTTCTCTTCACTTTTGACCTTTATGTGAGTGGATATAGAGGGGATTTTGGGGAGTCCTTCTGGAAGGGAGAAAGGACTGGGGCCAAAGCCAATCCGACATTCTTCACCCTCCAGGAGTTTTCTGCAGAATGGATAATGGAACACATTACTATTATTAGCTCAGAGCAGACTGATGAGTTGGGGGTCTTCTTGAATACCCTGAAGACCCATGGAATACAGTGATATAGACTTTGGTGGAGGAAGGAATGTGAATGGTGGACACTTTTAGCAAATCTTCTCAGGGTCCACCCAGAATCTGCACCCCAATGGCATTGCTCTTGTTTTATGTGGCTAGAACTGCAACTTATAATACAACTCCCCTACCCCAAAATGGCCCTCAAGAGAGAACACCTGCATTAACAAAAACTACATCAATTGTCCCTTAACTAAAACATTCAAGAAAAAGGTAGGAGCCTCAGCAAACAATTCCACATTTATAAATTTGGGATTAATAGGTCTTAGAATATTCCCATTGGAATTTCAAGGGTCTCCAGTCACCTTATATTCTCATCCTTTGGGATTTAGGAGAAAGGGCAGCAGTTTCTACTCTTTCCAACTCAGTAGGTATGTGACTTCAGCCAACTCACTCAAACTCTTCAAGCCTCAGTTTCTTCATTAGCAAAAAGAGGATCATAAGAGTCCCTACCTCAGAGGGTTGTTTCAATGAGATAATGAATAAAAAGGAACTGGCAATGCCAGCCTCATAGTAGGTATAGGGGTTACCCCTAGAGACCAGTGCTTTGGAAATTTAACAGCATACAAATCCCCAGGGATCTGGTTAAAATGCAGATTCTGATTCAGTAGATCTTGGGTGGGGCCCAAGAGTCTGCCTTTCTAACATGTTTGTAGGGATCCCTGGGTGGTGCAGCGGTTTGGCGCCTGCCTTTGGCCCAGGGCGCGATCCTGGAGACCCGGGATCAAATCCCACGTCGGCTCCCGGTGCATGGAGCCTGCTTCTCCCTCTGCCTGTGTCTCTGCCTCTCTCTCTCTGTGTGTGTGTGACTATCATAAATAAATAAAAATTTTAAAAAAAAATAACATGTTTGTAGAAGAAGCTAATTGTACTAATTGCTAATTGGCTCATGAACCACATTCTGACCAAGATTATAGACTGGACCCAAGAGATCCAAGAGTTGGGAAGTGAAGGGTCACTTGGCAGCAACTGGGAGGGGTGTTCATGGAGTCAGCTTGCTCCTTAGCAAGAAATTGCTAAGCTGGGAGGTCTCATGGCCTTATCCTGGCTACCATTTACTGAGAGATTTCTCTATGACAGCTCAGCCATACCCAGATTTGCTCTGGAACTGGATTGGCTCCTCCTTTCCACAACCCCATAACAGGAGTACTGTTATCATCTCCGTTTTATTTCCCCAGGAAAGAAAAGCTCAGAGAGCTAAAAAAAAAAAAAAAAAAAAAAGGACAAGAGAGTTAAGACAACTCAGGTGCCTCATTTCCCTCCAAAGTAGGCCTCTAGCTGGTTGGATTTTGGAAGGGGTAAGGAATGTTATTATCTAAATCACTGGCAGAATGAAAAGAAGCCACTCTCAAGACTTCTGTCTCTCAGAAAGTAGAATGATGGTTGCCAGGGCCGCAGGAAAGAGAGGTGGGGAGTAATTCTTTAATGAGCACAGGGTTTCAGTTTGGGAAGATGAAAAAAGTTCTAGAGATAAATGGTGCTGATGGTTGCACAAAAACATAAATGCACTTAATTCCACTGTACTTAAATAGGAAATTTTATGTCATCTACATTTTACCCAATATAAAAAAATTCTTTTTTGTTTCTAAGACAGGCAGTCACCTTGCTGGGAATCTGAAACTCAGTGCTTAACTTCTCAGAGGAGTGCAAGGACTCCCCACCATCCCAAATGCCCCCTGGCCCACATCACCTGTAAGCGGCAATCTCAATATCCAGAGCCATCTTGACATTGAGCAGGTCCTGGTACTCTCGGAGCTGGGCTGCCATCTCCCACTTGGTGTTCCTTAGCTCGGTGTCCAGCTGCTGGATGGCCTCCTGGGGAGGAGAGGTCACACACAAGTCATGTGCCAGCCAGTGCCCGGCCCTCAGCACCAGAAGAGCTAGGGCACACCATGCAAACCCAAAGCAGCCCCATCTATGGCCCCATGTGGGCCAACACCCACCCTGTCCCACCCTGTGGGAGCCTCATTCATGGATGTGGAAACTACCTGGAGCAAAAATGCCACTGTGTGTAGATACACCCTCAGCCTGGGAAATGGTTTGGAATGAAGCACACCAGCCACCAACAATGGCTATCACTGGTCAGTGGGATGACGGGCAAAGATCTCTTTATAGACCTCTTTAAACACAGAAAACATTCAGCAAGAACAGAGCCTCGTCTGCTTTGACTCCTGATGCTCCCAAGCACCTGCCGCACAGTAAGGGCCAAGGAAGCCCCCTGAGGCTGAGGACTGTAGCCGTACACAGAAGCACGCTAAATACCAGTGGAAGCTTCTCCCCTGTCCCCAGGCTCACTTCATGCTGCTGAAAGTAACCATTACGCAGCAGTAACCATTACGGCTGACTTTTATTGCTTCCTTTTTGCTTTATCCATTTCCTAATTTACCCACAATCACCACATATTACTTGCATAATAAGTTCTTTAAAAGTGTCATATTCTTTTGCCCGCTGTCTTTAATGGAAGGACTCTGCCGAGGCCTTCCCCAGGCTATCCACGCTCACAGACACTGGTTATTGTTTACCAAAAGCTCACCATGACCAGACCCTGCAGAGCAGGCTCACACTCAACCATGAAAAGTTTGTCTATCTCTTTAACCTTCACAGCTCTGCAAGGTGGACTTTTATTTCCCCCATTGCACTGAAGGAATTCAGATTCAGAGAGGCCACTAAGATTTCTGGGGCCACTAAGCTAGAAAGACATACTGGTCCCCCTTGCATGTCTGACTGACTGCAAAGCCCACAGTCTTCACCACCACAACCCTGCTGACAGAGGGGCAGTGACTTGTCCAGGATCACCCGACCAGGGAAAGTAGTCTGGGTCTCTGCCCCATCCCTGCCCACCTGGTAGGATGCGATGTCAGCCTGATGACGGTCCTCCAGTTCAGAGCGCTGCCTCTCTAGTGAGTCCTTGGTGCCTTTGAGTGCCTCCAGCTCTGTGGTCCTAGCCTGCAGCTGGCGGCGATACTCTGTTATCTCCTCCTGGGCTGAGCGCATGGCATCTGTGTTCACCTTGGCTGCCTCTGATAGTCGGTCCAGCCTCACTGGGGGAGAAGGGAACAGGGCACAGAGTTAGACACATCCACATCTGGATTTAGATTCTAGTGCCCAGATTCAAAAGGTGACATACATGGGTTGAAGACCTACTGAGTACCTGCTGCCATCTTGGATTCTTAACCCACCCTCTCCTTTATGATAGGCAAATTACTACCGCCCAAGGCCAACTAGTAATAAACAGTAGATTCAAATCTAGCAGTCTACTGGTTCCAAAGATCAGACTGTCTCCACCAGTTCAGGATCTGAAGCCCCACAGAGCAGAGGAAGCCCCCATTTCTGGTCCTAATACCTGGTTTAGCTCCCCAGCAAGGGCTAGCAGTGCGGAGAATTCAGATGTGAAACTTGGCTCACAGGGCTTAACTCTGAGCTTGTGGCTGAACAAGTTAATGAGCCTGTGACCTCTGGAGGGATGAAGGTGCTCTGAGCCACTATGTAGCCATAGCCCCTTCCTTGCAGGTTTTGGCTATGCAGAGTCCAAGGTCACTGCAGAGTCTGGGGCACACGTGCCAACTTTTCTGTCCCTTCCCCCACCTAGCTGCGCATTCTCTAGCACAGGAGTCTTTGTGTCAACGGCAGCCACACCCTGGACCATGTGAGCAATGGAGACATGGTCCCAGAAGACATTCTGGGACCAGCAGAGGTCTGGAGACTAGACTACATCTCCTGAAAGTGAGGGTCCTGAATCCCAAGATAGTAAAACCCAGGACCTGAGTCTTGGGAGGGTGAGGTGGGAAGAAGGGAAGCCAGCTGGGTGGGCCAGAAGTCCTGGGATGGCTTGTCTATGTAAAGGGCAAAGCCCAAGAGAGCAGAGAGGTTTGCTCTGGGAGAAGTCTTGCTGCAGGGATGGGGGAGGGAAGGTTTTGCCACTGCAAAGGAGAGGAAAAGTAATGGGAAAAACCATGCATCCAAGTCTCAGCTTTCCTGGCTTGCCCTACTCGTGTTGGCAAAAACTTAGAAACCATCCAAGTGGGTGAAGATTCTTACCCATGGGGACCACAGACCTGTTTAAAAATCCCTGGAGCCTCTGCACACTCTCCCAAGGAAAATGCAAGTTATACACAGTTTTAGGAAGGATCAGGTAGCTCTCCCACTCCCCACCCTTAATAAGAGGCTCAGCTGGTCAAACCCCGACCCATTCAGCCCCCAAAAATGAAAACCAAAGAAGGCAAGCTTTGGCCAAGGTCACCCGGAAGCTGCTAGGCATAGCTTCAGAGCTGCTGCAGCTGCAATCTAGCTGACTCAGGGCAGCATGGAGTTGGAGGAGGGGGGAACTTGAGAAGCTTCTAGCTTCTCAAGGGGAGAGAGGACATTGTGGGGGCCACCCCAACCTCATGCACCCATTGGCTGGGGTGATGATCCCTCTAGGGGAGGAAGGATGTGAGAATGCCCCACTGGGGAGGAACCTGATAGGGGTCCAGACAATGGGGTCCTCTGCAGAGTGCAGGCAAGGGGATGAGCAGGGTTGGGCAGGGAAGGTATGTTACTTTGAAGGGCAAAGGGTCCCCCGTGCCTGTAATTAGAAGCTGGCACCGCTCTGGAACTGCAGAAGGAACCTGATGGAAAGGGGCTCAGAGTGGGGTTATCTAATATTGGGCAGGGGCAACAGAAGGGACCCAAAGTAGCAGGACAGATAGAAGGACCCTGGAGTAGGGCAGCCAAAGGACAACCCTGAGTTGAAGGATTTCTCCAGACACCCAGAGTGAAACTGTTATTTAACGCAGGGGAATGTTCTTTGCGGGAGGAAGCTGAGCAGCACGCCCTCCAGCCCCACCGCCTTCGGAGTGCGCCCGGCCCGACCAGCAGGGGGCGCCCCTCCCCCACGCGCCTACGAACCTCGGAACCACTCCTCCGACTGCAGTGTGCTCTGCACCGCGTGGCCTTCAAGTTGCGCGCGGATCTCGCGCAGCGCCGACGTCACGTCGCACTTCAGGGCGTCGCGCGCCTCGGCCTGCGCCTGCGCCTGCGCGGCGCCGCAGCCCTGGATCTGGCCGAGCAGCTCGCCCACCTCCTCCTGGTGGTGACGCCGCAGGTAGCCGCACTCTTCCTGCAGCGCTTGCGCCTTCTTCTGCAGCTCGACGCGCGCCGCCTCGGCCTCTTGCGCAAAGCGCGCGAGTGCGCGCGCCGCCGCCTCGGCTTCTTCCCGCTGCCGGGCCTCGTCGTCTAGGCGCTGGCGCACGTGCGCAATGTCTTCGAGCAGGTGCTCCTGCTCCAGGCGCAGCTGGCCGCGCGCCGCGCCCAGGCGCAGCACAGCGCCGCGCATCTCGCGCACCTCTCGCTCGTACAGCTCGCCCATGGCGGCGCGGCCAGCGTGCTGCTGCCGCAGGGCCGCCGCCTCGCCTTCCAGGCTGCGGTTGTGAGCCTCGAGCTGCCGTACCTTGTCGATGTAGCCTGCGAAGCGGTCATTCAGCGCCTGCAGCTGCTCCTTCTCGCTGCGGGCCGCGGCTGCTGCCACCACGCAGCCCTCCGGTCCGTTGCTCAGCGTGTCTAGGGAGTCGGTGCTTGAGGTGGCTGCTGCGCCACGGAAGCGGCTCGGGGAGGCCGACACGGAGCTCACGGATGTCCGCGCCCAGGAGTGGAAGCCACTGGATGAGCCGGCGGTAGAGCGCGTTCCGCCCTTGCGGGCCAACGCGTAGTGCAGGCTGCCGCCTCCATGGAGCGGCGCGAACGGGGCGCCCAGCAGCGCGTCCGCGCCGCTGAAGCTCATCATGGCCGGAGCAGGTGCGGCCGCCGGCGGAGGGGGAAACCCGAGGCCAGGACGGGGCGGGCGGCACTGCGGCAGCACGGGGATGCCGGCCTTTTTATAGCAGCCCGGTCGGGTCCAGCCCCTCGGCAGTTGGGGGGGCGGGGGAGGAGGGCCCCGCCCTCTCTGCCTCCTCCCCGGCTGCCCGGGCCGGGCCGCTCCGCCGCAGTGAGAGGGGCGGGGCAGGGGGACTCAGGAGTGAAGGGGAATCGACGCGGCGTCGGTGGAGCACCCCGAGGTCGGGTTAGCGGGGTGCACTCCTGGAGTGGAACGGCTGGGACCCCTGGGTGCGAGTCGGAAGACTTTGCTACTGTGTTTGGAAATAGAAAAGGGCCTAAAATGGGGAGAGGGCAAGGAATCTCCGTGGGAATAGGGACAGAGTGTCTTTGGGATGGAGCGATGGGTGACTGTAGTCAGATTGAGGGGACCCCTGAATGAGAGGGGGCACAAGATTTTCCTGAGAGTTAGAGAGGACCTCAGGATAAGGGGTGCAGCGTGTCTGGAGCTGGCCCGTAATAGGGGAGGGAGCAAAGTTATCCTAAATAGACTCATGGCGGATGCTACAGAAGGTGACTGGAGGTACACTCTTTCCCTCATAGCTAGGAAGCCACCAGGAGAGAACTGCAGCCGGCTGCAGAATAGGAGAGGGGGACTTGGAGTTGGGAAGGGCAGCAAGGCTGCCCTGAATTGGGGTATGGGAGACACCTCAGAGAAGGAAAAGAGGGAAGTCAGTGGTCTCTGTAGTGTAGAAGGAGGGAGCTGGCCCCAGCAGGGAGGGCCCTCAGTGAAAGAGGCAGAGGGGCCCCCTGAATAAGAAGGAGGAACGTGGGCTTTGTGAGAGTCAGAGAACCCAGAGTGGGGGTCCTGTGGGGACTGGGCATGAAGCTGGGGAAGCTAGCACCTGTGTGGGGTGGGGGGGAGTGACAGGTGTCCTAGGAGTCATTCAGGCCAGGGTCTATACACTCTGAGGTCAGCTCCACAGTTTGCTGGCCAAATGACCTTGGATGAGTTGCGGACCCCATCCCTGTTTTTCCCATCTGTACCAAGAGGGGGCCTTGCACTGGAATAGGCTGCAACTAGAGACACCCCCACCCACCACCCACCTCCGCCCCGCTCTCCCCCTCCCCTGGCAGCTTCTGCTTTGGGGGAGTCTCTAGCTGAACTAGGGAAGGAGAACCCATATACTGTCCATGGATGTGGCAGCTGCTTTCCCACAACTAGGAAGTCCATCTTTCTCCCCCTTTCCTCCTTATTTCCTCCACTTTGACTTGTCATCTCTTCCCCACCCCCAGAACAGAGAAGTGGATGCAGCGATAGGCATCCTTTCTAACCCCCAGTGAAGTAGTGGGATGCTTTCAGGGCACCCAAATCCCTTATGGAGGGTCAGATAGAAAAAGGGTCCCTGGGATTTGAGGTGCCCTACAACTGCTGGTGTTATACGACTTTTTTTTGGGGGGGGGGCTTTCATTCTCCTGTGAAATGCTGGGGGGGGCTGTCTGGTGCTTCAGCACCAAGGACAGGGCCTGCTCTTTGTGGAGAGAGAGGGGTTAATCTCTGCCTTTACCTTGGAGGGAGGGAGGAAGGAGGTTGGCAAGTGTGCTAAGCATATAAGAACTGAGGAGGGGCGATGAACGATCCTGCAGGGTTACTCTGGGAGCCGGGAACCCAGCCTCTCAACCTTCTGGTAAGGGGTCCAGTTCCCTGTTTTGTATGAAATTCTCCCACATACACACTCTGCTCCTCCTTTGGGAGATGAAAGGACCCCCACAGTGTTTTTCTGGGAGGGAGCCTTGAGACTTTTCTCTCAGATCTGAGCCTCCCTCAGGCAGTTATCTCAGCCCCCACTGCACTTCCAGTTTACACTGGTTTTCCTTCTGTGGGATTCCCAGGATGGGGACTGACAGATCTCCCCAGAAAAGACCTCTGCCAGTTTGTTTCTTCTAGCCCTCTGCCTCATTCCCAGACGCCTGATTCTAAACAGACCCTCAGAGATGAGGAAGTGGTGGTGCTGTCCCTTTAACCACGTTTTACGGGAAGGAGAGTGCGCTGGGAGAAGGAAGGAGGGGGAAGGGAATTTCTGGTTCTGAATGGAGAAGCAAAACATGATGAAGCATTTTTCCCCCCACTTAAAGTTCCAGTTATGAGCCAGTTTGCAAGGGGCAGAGGGGCTGGTTTGCAGTCAGTGCTGGGAGGATGGAGGTGAGTGACTGGTCTGAGACTTCTGAGAATGGGATCTAGGGGGCTTAGGCAGGGTCTCCATGCTCTCCTTTGGCTCCCCATTTACTTGTCATTCGGCTTGGCATTTTGCCAGGAGAACCTTGTTCCTTTGGATCTTTTCAATCATCTGCATGATGCAGATACATCCTCTGGGTGTAGGATGGCTGGTAGGCAACTAACAGTAATAGAGTGGTGAGAGGTGCTCAGTAAAAGAGGGGAGGGGGCCAGGAGGCTAAGATGAATTCTGTCAAGGTTGGGGGGGTGCACAACCAAGGGATCATAGCTCCCTGTGGACTCCGACCAAGAAATCCCAAACATGATTTGTATGGCTGGAAAAATGACATGAGGATGGGAACCCTGAGTTCATTCTCCCAAAGGGCCCTTCTGACTCACTTCCAGGAAGCCATTTCTGGCCTCCTTTACCTCCGTATTTAGTTAATTATCCCCTCCAAGGTCTCTAGTGCTAATCCACCACACTGCATTTAACCACTCTGGGGCATCATTGGTTGAATGAATGGATGGATGAATAAATTCCATCAGTTCTCAAGCCAAACTTGTGGTCTGGAGGGAACTAAAAATGGTTCTGTCCTGAGTCTTTGGGTCTCAAATCACTTTCACCTTCCTCCTCTCAATTCTTACCATTTGGAAATGAGTAGAATAACATTCATTCATTCATTCATTCATTCATTCATAGAATAACATGTTCATTCACCATCCATCCATCCATCCATTACGTGTTTACTGAGCACCTGCTGTGTGATAGGCACACACAAAACACTGAGGTTACAGAATCCCGTAAAACTCTAAAATTGTCTCCCTGGAATAAGGATTCTTAAGTCCTTCCCAAATCCTAGTCCACTATTTCCCAAGGCACCTTCTTGAGGATAGTAAGTGTTCCTTTAAAAATGAGAGGAAGAGAGGGGTTTCATGGGTAAAGGAGAGTTAAATGGGGCTCTTGAAGCAATGCTTGTAGCCTGGACTTTGCAGTGAACACTGAAAATCCCCCAAAGGTGAGTGGAGTGTGTTGTGTTGTCCAAACTTGTTTGATCATAGGCCTTTCTTGCCTCTAAGTGTCTCTCATGATGACTCACATTGAAGGACCCACTCGAATTGGGCTCTAGCCTGTGTTCTCCCTGGCCTGCTATCTGAGCTCCTGTGGATCATGTCTGTTTTTCTTCATAAGAGACAAAATCATGAAAAATGAAAGAAAGAAAGAAATGAAAGACATTCATTAAAAAGGCTATAATGAAACTAGAAAATTGAATAACAATTTTAAGTAAGCTCTACATGCAACATGGGGCTTGAACTCATGACCCCAAGATCAAAAGTCACATGCTCTCCTGACTGATCCAGCCAGGCACCCCTGAATAACAAAATTTTAAAGACTATTGAAAAATATAAAATACTTGAGTACATTTTAACTATGTGTAGATTCATGGCACTACTGTGCAAATAACTGATTTTATTTTGTAGATTGTACTTACACTTGTCTCAAAGTCATTGTTCATAGTCTTACACATTTATTTGGCTTGCTGATTCATCTCACTTAGCATCACATTTTTTCTTTTTTATGCTAAAATTCCTTCCTTCATTGAGAGAGGTATCCATTCCGGTACCTGGGTGGCTCAGTGGTTAAGCATCTGCTTTTTGGCTCTGGTTGTGATCCTGGGGTCCTGGGATCCAGCCCCACATCAAGCCCACATCTCCAGGAGCTTGCTTCTCCCTCTCCCTCTGCCCCTCCCCCCTGCTCATTCTCTCTCTCTCTCTCTCTCTCTCTCTCTCTCTCTCTCCCCCCCCTCTCTCTTTCTTTAAAAAAAATCTTTTTTTTAAAGAGAGGTATACATTCCCAAATACTAGAATACTTATTTGTAACTGAGTTTTGTATTGCATTATGAAAGCCTTCTCTACGCTGTTGCTTGTTCTTGGTATATTGTCACATGTCCTTTTTTTAATTTTTTTATTTATTTATGATAGGCACACAGTGAGAGAGAGAGAGAGGCAGAGACACAGGCAGAGGGAGAAGCAGGCTCCATGCACCGGGAGCCCGACGTGGGATTCGATCCGGGGTCTCCAGGATCGCGCCCTGGGCCAAAGGCAGGCGCTAAACCAAACCGCTGCGCCACCCAGGGATCCCTATTGTCACATGTCTTGATAGACATTCCAAAGTTCTCTGGGAAATGTCGGTTCAAAATTCCGTACCACTGTATAGACCATCATAATGGCTGCAGTTTATATTATATATAAATGGGAGCACTGGAAAAAATGGAAAAATGAAATCAAACTGTCAACTAGTTGATGAAACTAAACTATCAAACCAAACTATCAACCAGTTATTTTTTTTAATCTTTTAAGGAAAAATTGCCTCACAGCCAATTAGTTATATGGTGAAAATGCTTGCAGCAAATAAGCTTATGGCAAAACTATCTAGAACCCCTGTGAACCCCAAGGTTAGTGCTCTTTAGGAACAGGACTGCGATGTGAAGGATAAAGCACTACAGCTCTCCATTAACATCAACTGAACATTGTTGGCACTTACTTCATTCACTCCACATCTGTGGGATTAGAACCTGTGTTGAGCACTGGGGACTCTAAAGAATGAGACCCCAATGGGGGGAAATCCTCCCCTCTCTGCCCTCCCCTGCCCCCCTATCCCGGCATGTATACAGCAGAGAGAACTCAGCTACCACTTTCTCCTTGGTACCTCCTCAAACCTTCTTCACTAGGCAAGGATTATTGTTGCTATTTTATAG